TACTTCTGCATACGGTGATACTATGGGGTGTAGAGTTACGAGCACTGGGTCTCTGACTCTTCATGCCAAGTCATCTGCAAGGTGTGCATTTGGATCACTTTTTGTCTTATGGAGCCCCAAAAATCTCTTTGCAATTGAAAAGTGATCAAGAAATATTTAGTACGTTATCACTTTACCAAAGTTTCTTTGATTCCCACAGGCTGCTCATGATGATATTTGTTTTCTTTGCAAGCTGCAAACATGGACAAGACTCTTCAGCATGATTTGAGATTAAAACAATACGTCTGTTATGTTTAAATGTAGCTTGAATGCAAACTTTATGTTTTATCATAGAGCAATGTAAGTAAAGAACATAAACATACCACGCATAGACAGAAAGGGCTGTAGATCAATGATTATTGTTCAGCTTTATTCTGCAAACGTCATGGAAACTTGTGTGGAACCCACACTTATCAGACTCACAAAAGCTACTTTCAGAATGTAAGGAGTGAGCTACAACACCTTTACAGGAGGGTTGTTGTTTTTCGACCTAAACCCTCACTAATTTAACTCTTTGCTTTGGCCTGGGAAAACCTTTATTGCATACGAGTATTACTTTTGTAATATTTGACATTGATGCCAATCATGTGCAATGTTGAGTGTACCAATTCTAATGTCAGGACCCAGTATTCAGGCAAGACAGACAGTGGGATTACTCAAAAGGTTTGAGAACCAGATTTTCCAATCTGGTTTTAAAACATTGCACAGCACAGAATCAGAGTTATAGACATCTTTTTAGCTACTGACTCTGGACACTGTGTTCTCCTTGTACTTTTACATTTGACTGCAGCATTTGATACAGTGGACCATGAAATCCTGATTGCTCATTTGGAACAGTGGATGGGCATCAGTGGCTCAGCACTGGAATGATTCATGTCCTACCTGTCACATCGGACTTTCTGTATCAGCCTTGATGACTGTGTCCTCCACTGCTCCTCTCTCATGTGGGGTCCCACAGGGCTCGGTGCTTGACCCTCTTTTATTTTCTCAGGAAACATAGCATTTCCTTTCACTGTTATGCTGTTGACAGCCAGATGTATGTCCCCCTCAAAAAGGTTGATTCCTACTCTGTTGACCCACTGCTAAACCTTAAAGCTTGGATTTCTTTAAATTTTCTGAATTTTAATGAAGAAAAGACAGAAGTCATGGTCTTTGGTGGCACGTCTGTAACGCAGTAACACAGTTGATCTGGGTTCTCTAGCACAATAGTGCAAACCAATTGTAAAGAATCTCGGGGAAAAAGTAGACTCAGACCTTAAATTTGACAGCCAGATGAAAGCTGTAGTGAAATCTAGCTTTTTTCCAGCTAAGGCAGCTGGCAAAGATCAAACTAGTCCTTCAGAGACAGCACTTTGAGACTGTAATCCACGCCTTTGTGACCACTCGGCTGGATTACTGTAATGCACTTTATATGGGGATTAGTGGGTCCTCAATTGCTCGTCTTCAACTGGTTCAAAAAAGTACAAGCACATTTTACCTATTTTAGCTTCACTCCACTGGCTGCCCATCCATCTTAGGATTCATTTTAAAATTCTTTTATTTACTTTTAAAGCCTTGAATGGCCTTGCCCCACTCTACCTCTCTGAGCTGCTGCACCCCTACACTCCCAGCCGATCTCTCAGGTCAGCTGACCAGCTGCTCCTGACAGTGGCTTAAGCTCAGAGGGGATCCAGCATTTTCTGTTGCAGCTCCAAAACTTTGGAATGACCAGTGCACATTAGACAGGCCACCTCTCTGTCTAATTTTAAAACTCTTCTTAAAACCCACCTCTTTTCTTTGGCTTTTGACATCATGTAGAGTGTTGATTTTATGTATACACATGCATATCTTTATCCTGTGCGGGCAGTGTTTTATTTTATTTACTTTTATTTATTTTTATCTTTTTGTGCAGCACTTTGTAAACCTTGTGTTTATTGAAATCGTGCTATATGAATAAAGTGGATTGGATTGGATTGAAAAGGCATTTATTAAAATCAAACATCAGGTGGCGGGTCTGCAGTAGACAGGAAACTCTGGTTTAGAGAACAGTCCATGTCCAGAGAACGAGGTTGAATCCAGCCGTCTGGCTGCCAAGAAGATGTGGCAGGTGCCGGCTAGATTGTCTAAGATGCTGCAGCCCCGGAGAACAAGCAGGAGTCTGAAGCCAGGTCAGGCAAACAGATCAGAACAGGAACAGGCAGGCTCAGAGATCCAGGAGTCCAAGGACAGTTGAGGCAAACCATTCAGAAGGGAACAGGCAGGCTCAGTAACTGAAAGGTAGGTCAGGATCAGTTAATCAAAAACACTAAGGAATGCTTAAAAACACCCTCACCACTGGGATCAGATGGGAACAGGCAGGCTCAGCTGTTGAGAGGCAGAACAGGTCAGGGTCAGAAAATCAGAAACACCAAGGAACTCCAAAAACACTCTCCCCACTGGCGAGAGAGAACAAAAATAAACTGTCCCTGATGACTGGATGCAAGTAGCTTAAACAGAGGCAGGAGCAAGTGGATTAGATGAGAAGTAATGGTGAACTGGGCAGAATTGGACAGGTGAATGAAATTAGCAATTAAGCCAGTCATCAGTTCCAAGATTATGACAACTAACAAATATTTAAACAAAACAGACTACAAAATCTATGTGACAAAAAAAGTCTTCAGGGCTTCACATATCCTGAATATCACACAAATCAAACTATGTTTATCTATCAGTACTATGTTAGTTTTAGGAAAAGTGTCAGTTTATACTAGATCAAAATGCAGCTCAAAATGCTTTAGTTGTGTTTTCCATGCACTGATTTTTGTTTATTTATTTGTTTTGTTCTCAAAATAATGTTTTTTGTCACCAGTGGCTTACGGTCTCAGAGCTCTACATTTCCTACCGTTGCTCAGTCTCTACAACATTGTTAAGTCATTAAAACAACCTGCTTATTATGTTTCTGGTTCTTTTGAGACTTTCTCGATGTAGAAACAGTTCTCACTGGGGGTTCCTAAAGACCACAGAAATTACTTTGTTATCCTTTTCAGACTGAAAGATGAGAGTGTCTTTGTTTCTTATCTGTTCATGACTTTCTTCAGATGTGAAGCATAAGATGTTACTTTTCAAGATGTTAACCCACTTTAGTTGATACATTACTTAAAACGACTGTTTAAGGTTCTTTTTAAAATATTTATTGATTCAGAAGATAATAATAATAATGAGGTCTGTCTATGGCTATTGAAACTAAATAATTTAATTCAAGTCAAGGCAAAGTTGGTAGATATAAGTACATATATTTTTGTCATCAAACTACCACAGCTTATTCACTCTGGACAGGCCATCTGTTCATCACAGTGCAATAGACAGACACAAAATCATGCAAATGCAATCTAAGGCAAATCTAGTTAACAGTCATGTTAGAGGGAAGGACGCCAATGTCCCTTGAGAGAAAAGAACCTAAACAGTGATACAAACTGCTCCCTTCAGCGTCCCCTTATGAGTAAATGATTGTTACTCAGGTTATGTTTGCAAGATCTGGTTATCAAATACACTAACATGTGACAAAAAACCCCAAAACAAATGTGCGGAAATGTCCTAATAACCTGGGATCGAAACATGGCTTGTTTACAAATGTTGATTTCTGTGTTTTCTTTCCTTTTTTTGATATTTTCCCTTTAAAAAACGTAAATATTAAGTCCAATATAAAGCTTCAAAGCCTATTTAAAATATTATGGATGAAATGTGTTTCATGTTATCTGACCTTTCTAAACCTCTCTAGCCCATAAATGACCTCACTCTAAAAACCAGCGGCTTTGTATAATGAAAGTTACAGTGGTTATGTTTTATCTTGTCTTTATCAGATTCTTTTTTTTAAGTCAGATGCATAGTCCATTTTTATGAGTTATGCAATATCTCTGTAAAAGATGCATTTGTAGCCACTGGAAGAAAAAAAAAAGGGAAAATTGGTTATGGCCTGGAAGCGTTTTATCTGAGTCTAACTAATAAAAGCCCAAAGCTAAGACCTGGTAATTTTTTCCTTTCTTGCTTTTTACTTTTGCATATTTCAACAATCCCAGTGCAAATATGGCAGTAACAAAGCTATAATTGAGAACATTTTTCTAAGGATCCAAATGTGCAAAGTGCTTTTTATTTCAGTCACCAGTAGAGGGGGATATAGTTCTAACAACTACACAACCCGAGCTAATGAATGTCATGCTAAAAATAATTTACTTTCTACCAAATCCCAATCAATATGTTTCACAGTTAGATTAATAAGTTTTGTATTTAGTACATGTCATTATTTGAAGAACCAGATTTTAGAAACTGCACTTTGCACTAAAATGCACTTTTAGGGTTTGATATATAAATGATCAGACCTTTACCAGGTTTCAGAATGATTTGAATCTAACATCAAAAAACAAAACTAATTATCTGAAAAATGAAGCAAAAGCTGAATAATAAAAGATAAATTAAAAGCATTAACTGTAACCCCTTGATACTTTCTTTTCAATGTTTCCAAAAAGCTTGCATATGAAAAATGTTAGCACTGTCTGATGGATTTTACTTTTCACTTTATCTGAAGTATGTAAACATACTGCATATGATGCAGTATGTTATTTACTCATTGTTGCAAGAACAGTATGTATGTATGATGAAACTGAAAATCTCAGCTTCTACATTTCTTAGATAAGAAAATAGTGAGGGTTTCTGTCAGGTTTATTCTGCAATGGCTAGATAGATTTTTCTGTCTCTCTGTCTATTTCTGTATTTACTTTTTTTTTTTTTAACCAAAGCAACACATCCTTCAGAGTATTAAATTTGTTTTGCAAAGACTTGTTGATGCAACTTTTAATGTGAATGTAAGCGGATATAACTGAAAGTTTAGTCTGGCATTACAAGGCTGCAGAAGTGTCAACAAATCTGATAAGTTGAATCTCACTTTGGCAGATCCTGCATTCTTCTGAAAGAATTTAAAGCCTGAAAGATTTAGCCAGCCTATTAGATTTGTGGTTCTGTCAGTCTGCGACATCCTTTTCACAACTACCTCTCCACATTGTCTCATGCTCCCACTCTGAGTGCTTCTCGTCTTGAACTCTACAAGGGCGTCATCAGTCTCTGCAGACCTCGTTGCTCACAGAAGGGTGTGGGGTACTTGAGTTCCAGAGAAGCTTTGAATAACAAAGAGGGGAGAAATAAAAGGAATAAGTCCAACAAGCTCTCAGTCATCCAGCAGGGAAGAGAAGACGCAGGAATAACCATGCCTGAGCCAGTCCCTGAAGGTATGCAGATACTTGTTATAACAGCATAATATCCTAACTAAAAGATAAGACTTGGATAAGTCACACTGTTGATGCTTGAATTTAAATACTCTTTAATGTTTCAAATAAATAACTCGGATTTATACTAAAGTATATTCAAAATGTAAGAAATCATTGCAGATATTTAAATGACAAGAACAGGTTTAAAATGCCCATTTATGGAAACAACATATAAGCTCAAGAAGAGCCAATAGTCATCTGTATTTTTTGTTATGATACCATTGGGGACAGATTTGTAATTAAAAACAAGTGGTTTGTTTGTTTTCATTACACTCAAACTGTATAGCAAATAACTAACCTTTAGAGTATTTAATTCCCCGAGATAAACTCCAAAAAAACCTAACCATGTCTGTAGAGCTTCTAAAGTATCTAAATTTCTCTCTTGTCAGAAAACATGCAGTGTTTTTAAGATTAGATGAGGGAATTAAAAACAAAATCCCCCCATTAATGAAAGAAGGTTCTTTTAGATATCAGTCTCAGTTTGTAAATATTGTTTTCCGGGCCATAAACCTTGATTTGTTAAACTGTTATTTAATTATAATCATCTTTTTGAAAATCACATCAGTGTTATCTTCGATCTACACCATTAACAATTCTGTCTAGTTAGGTTGCTGCAGTGTAATCCATACTGCAGTTTATATTTTGTGAGCTATTAGGAACTTTGGCTTGAATTTCAGTTTCCAAGTCAATATATGGTGAAGCAAAACACATTCTATGGCTATTTTAAAACCCATAAAGTATTGCAACATAAGCTGTGTTTCTTACATGGTGTTTGTTACATTCAAATATTTTAGATTCTTTATTTAAGAATACTTCTTCTTAAAATGTGTTCTGTTGCTATTTCATGTTTCAGAAACTGAAATAAGTCCAACCGTTGATGACACTGACATCTCAAACTAAACTCCTATTATTCATGGTGTAGTGGTGTGGTTACATTCTTTATACTATTTGGTCCTTTTTTAAAACAAAACAGAAGATCCCCTTTTCTGACCTGACACACCAGAGATGGAGGGTAATTCGCATCCACTTAGCGTTTTTCTTTTTTTGTGCAACTCAACCCAATTCAAATAAAAAGTCCCCCAGCAATGAAATTCAGCCCATTAAGAAATGTACTGCTTTATAGGATATATAACAACCAACAAAGGTGATGAACTCTTAGTTTGTAAAAACTTGAGATTCACAAAGATTTAGCTAGCTTGAGTTTCCAAAATGCAAAAAACCTGTAGATACTAAGCAGGTACTAATTAAATTGCTCTCCCAAAACCGTGAGATTAATTCGTTTCCTGGTTTGGGAGTTCTTGCAAGTTATTTTAGACATGTAATGTGGGCGGAACCTCTAGCTGGTGTCATGGTCAACAACCCACTGTGATTGGTCAGACATTTAAGGTGGGTACGGCTAGTGTGGAAAGCCAGAAATGTCCAAAAGTTCATTATTTTCTGCTGGCATTGACCTAAAGCTTACATATTTTACCCGAGAATGATTTTAAAATGATAAGTAAATGATGAGTTAAAAAAAATTATTTTACTCTGCCCTTGCACACACAGTTAAAGAGAGGTTTCAGCTACATGTTGCTGATGCATCTTGTGGGCAAAATGCTTGTTTTGCATGGTTTCCCACAAATACTACTGTACATATGAATGCTCAAAAGTGAGAAGGGTGTGTAAAGTCTCCAACGAGGTTTGTACCTGAGTTTTGAGAAGGTATGAAAAGACATGACCAGGGAAAACATTGTTCTTATTCTTGCCACAGTGTGTGAAATAAATTACATCTCCTTTCTTAAAAATAACTTTCAAGCGTTTCTGACTTCAATTCTTTTCAGATATTGTAATGTCCATGGCAGAAATTTTTTTTTTCCTTGTTCTTACCTTGTTGAGTTTCCAAGTTCTTGCACATAATAAGTAGAGTTAGCTACTCGAGTTAGCTAAAATACTTAGATAATTAAAATTTCTTAAACATTTTACTGAGTTGCATTTAACGAAGACTCGGCTAGTTTAAGTTTCTTTAAAGATTTTGGAAATGTAAGCTCTCTAAATGCTGTGCTAGATCAACTTTTTCTAGCTTGACCTTCCTAAAGAGCACCACCAAGTTGGATTTGATTTGAAATGTTAAAAAAAGTGTCACACCATCATTTGAAGTAGCTCATTTTCATATTCTACTTTAAAAACAAAACAAAAAAAAACTGCCTGGCAGTATCACATAGTTAGAACAGGTGCTTGTTTGAGGCAAGAAATTGGCTAATATGAGCATGTGGTGAGTCAGCAAGCTACCCAAATGCAAAGTATATAGATTAAAGCAAACTGAGAGAGACTTCAGCATATTGCTCAATGAGTGAGGATTTAAACATTTTTCTCAAAAGCAATCTGAGTTTTAGTTGACAGCAGAATTAGGAACACCTTCCGACCTGCTCAAATTCAGAAACAATCAGAGAAAAGGATCTCTTTGTTTCTAGAAGACCAAAAAGCTCTATTATAAGTTTCCTTCCTAAATATTTAGTTAGCCAGGATTTTGCACACATCTTTATTATGATATTACACATTTTTCTATCACAACTTTTGCTTGTTAAGTTGGGTAAATAGGCTTTAACGCCTAAGTATTAAGTAATGCAAATAATCATAGTAACAGATGTGACCTTTGCTTGTTGAGTAAATAACCAGAATAGAATTTAAAGTGAAGTGATAATAGTTTACCAAAAGTTTCAATCTGTAAAAGGCAGATCCAAATGGGAAAAATAAGAAACATTCAATCATCCTCTTGAAGCTAACTTCACACTCGATAGCAGTTGCTAAAAATAGATCACTATTAACAGTATTCAGAAACTCACAGTCTTGCAACTTTAATGCCTTACTGATGCATGAATGCTGTGTAAATTTAGATCACTTGAGAGTTAGGAAGAAATCAAAGTCAATTTTCTAGTCAGCTTAGTTAAATAAAAATTTGATCCAACTTTTTTCTCAAACATTTGACTTTCTTTTATTTCTTTTTTTACCCACGAGAAAAACTGAAAAGAAGTCTGAACTGCTTCATTCAGTAGCAGTTAGATCCCACCAGTCGGTTAACTGCTAAAAATACTCTGCAATAGGCAGTGACCTTGCACACTTTTTTCCATGTAAGTTCAACAAGTTGCACCCCAGCCCACTGTATCAGGTTCTGCCTTTCCACTTTGCTGTCCCAGTGGAGATAAATCATGGCGTAATCTGCCAATTTTAACCAGAAAGTTTCTTCTCGGTCAGCAGGCCCGATGCGCCGTTCTGATTTTGGCTCCGCTCCAAGGCAGTCCATCAAACAGAGGACAGTTTTCTAGTCAATGGTTGGAGGCGATGCTGTGATTCATGATCATAATTCCCTTCATCACTGTGTGCTGATGAAACACTGTGAGAGTAAATTGAACCATAACTGCTGTGTGAAGTTTTACCAGTCCCCAAGCACCATTTATTTTTGTCAGGCTACAAGAACCTTGACTTGAAACGATGACATGATTCATTCTCTGTTTATGAATGACTAATGGAAAAAAAAGTCTAACAAACACAATCTGTTGTTGCAAAATCAATGTGGATGCGACCCACAATGAAACTAAAACTAAAAAAGAATCTCCAAACCTGAGTTACAGCTTTTTCATTAATTTCTTTAAAAATGGCGGATGAAGAATTGGGTGACAGGCTCATCATTTAAAAATTGCTTGGATTAGACATCACAATGCAATACCTATACTATAAAACACGAAAAAGATGTGAAACTGTGATTTTATGAAGTATACTAAGTTATATATTTTGTATCTAGGTATCATAATGTTTATACTAAATGCTTTTATTTGGTAAGATATTAAAGAACACAGTATCACGCAGTTGGACCAAAACATATTTGTGATCATAGTTTGCTTCTTCAGCTTGATATGCCTACACCATTTTACACCAACAGAAATAAATCCCTTGACCTGCAGTATCGAGCGACACTACTCTTTTAAACTAAGGCTATTTTAGAGCTCATAGAAACTAAGTGGTTATGCAGATTTCTGGTGATGGTAAACTATAAATAGGTAGCAAATCAAAAGTCAGCTCAACTTCTTCAACCTAAATGATATGTGCACATTAAAAAAAAGGTTTATGCTAAATAATTTGACCTCTATTATCCACAAAATGTACTTGAGGAAGTTTGAGTAAGTTTAGAATGAGGTGATAAATGGAAAAAAAAAAGTGTTATGATTTGTGGCTTATTGAAATGGTGATGAAGGTAAATGATACAGAGCTTTTCTATCCATACTGTCCAAAGTGCTTTACATTGGAGAAACCCAGTCACACTTACAAGCACAAATCATTGATAGACCAATGCTCAGATTCGTAAGCGACTTAGGTTCAACTCCCTTGCTTGGGGCCAAGACAGCATTTGACAGAGGGAAGTCACCCTATAAATAGACAAAGCCATAAACTCTATGTGTCTTTATGTCTGTCATTAAACACACTGTAAACCATACCGTCAAAGTCGGATGTAGAAATGTAAACAAACCGCAAGGTGAACACCTGATCTGACCTCAATGTAAAGTGTTAGAGTATTCATGCACCTTGGTACACTGTCATTACCATGAAAACCTTTTTTGACAGGGCAATTGTGGAATGTTTTTGTAAAAGGATACAAGGTCACTGGCATAGAAAAAAACAATCTTTCATAAAGTGGGACTCCCTAATCTGATACGCTTATATAAAAACTGGTGCGAAGATTCAAGCCTGAGATTTTGGTCATCATAATGCTAATAGGGCTTTAAGGTCTGCGGTCAGCTGTATTCATACAGAGATGATGTTAAACACAAAGGGAGTCTTATGCCTGCTGATTTTATTCATCTTTGCCTTAGTAATAAGCAAGCATAGAGTGAAACCCAGCTGGAATACAAACAGGAAAATGATCAAGAACAAAGGGCCCAAGTTTGAACGGTAAAAAAAGTTAAAACTGAAAATTCTCCTGTAAGAGAAATAAAAATACGTTTTCCCACTGAAATGTACGTATTTTGCTGAATTGACCTAAATAACATCAGATTAATTATTAGTCATGAGAAGTTCTTCACATGATACCACAGAGGGGAACATCTAAGCTGTGAAAACAGCTGTGCAGAAGTTGATTACTCTGCCTTATCCAAAACTTGTTGAAGATAAGTGAGAACCCCCTCCCTCAGTGGATTATGATGAACATAAGCAGATGCTGATGCAGATTTGCCTCCATGCTGGTGTTATATTTTTCAACAGACTCAAAGACGTTTCTGAAAAGCTCTGTTGAGAAGCATTTTGTTTCTAAATCTATCAGGAAATACTCTCATCTTTAGTGAAAGTAACTCACTGACGAAGTATACGGACTGGTGTTGATGATAGTTTTTTTTATTTCTGCAGCTGAATTTTAGACCAGTCTTTAAGGTGAAGCCCTTAGGGTCAACTTGGCTTACTATTCAAGGAAAGTGAGTTCAGCTTGAGAGAACGTGGCTTCGCTTTAGGGAGGTCACAAGACACCGTCCATGGCCTTTAAGAACCATCGAAGTGACCCCCACAGAGACACTTGGGGAGCTTGGGGTATATTATATGCCTCTATTTTAGTTGAGAATTTTCTTTTACCCGAATTAGGCGCCAACAATGACACCCATAGCAGCTCTCATTAAAACAGCCCCCTCCCCCTGCCCCCACCTCCTTCTGGTTTACCCTTTGAATCATGTCACTAGATCGGGATATCCATTACAAGGATCTGTGCCAAATGCAGCACTTGAAATTTCTAAGAGGACCTTCCCGTTTCTTTTAAATTTATGACATCACCTATACGATGAAACATTCCTGAAGTAGTCACTTTAGCTAAGCTATCATTTCCAGGTAAACATCTATTTAAATATTGTCAACAAGATTTAATTAAAAGATTTTACAGAGTTTTAATGTCTATCAAAATCTATACAAATCAAATGAAACAAAAATAGGAAAGCTTTATCAACAGTTTTCTTAAGTCACTTGATGAACACCATGGTCAACTCCTTTAGTTTCAATCAAGCCAGTAGTTGGGTAAATAATATAAAAAAATTTGGCGATAGTGTAGGGGTTAAACTTGCAACCCATGTTCATAGGCTTGGTCCTCGATGCAGCCGTTACTAGTTTGAATCCTGTCATGTTGACCTGTTCCGCATGTCGTCATCCTCTCTCTAATTCCTTTTCCTGTCTGTCTACTTTAAAAATAATAAAAATAAAGGTCAGCAGATCCTAAAAAAAAAAAAAAGCTGTTAGCTGACTTGAATCATGATTATTTAATTATTAGTACTCCAAAATCCCTTTAAAATAATTGTAATAATTTTTTTTTAATCCTTATTCTATATCTTGGAAAACAACTGCTTCTTTCACACATACAGTAGATAATATTTTACAGCTATGTACATAAAGAAATACAACTTATTCAGTGACACATCTGCATCATTTCCTCGTAATCTGCATGTAAATGATTTGTCAAGTTTAGACTGTATCTATAAAGTATCTTTTCTTCTTCGATTCTTAGTGTGATAATATGACTATTCAGACAGAAATCAAATAGATTCACAGACTTTTCATACATCTTCATCAGGGATGTTGATGAATGTGTGTACAAAGACAAAATGATGTGTGCAAGTAACACTTTTCTTTGTCTGTTTCACAGCTAAGCCAGCCGAGGGTAAGTCAGCATTTCTGCTTTTGTTCCATTGATTTTTTCAGACGTCCCATTATCATATAGTGACACATTTACAGCTCGTATGGTTTTTTTGTGCGTTCTACTCACATATCATGTCAACCGTTGGTTTCTAGCAGACTTCAAACACTGTTTAATCAGCATTCACAATGTTTTTATTTATTCATGGCCGTTCTGTCAGGAGAGCATCTCCTTTTAAATTATAAATAGCGCTGTGTTACAACTGTATACTGTAGATTAGGGATATTTATATCTTTCAGTTGAAAAGCTGCTCTTTTTATGCCACATTAATAGGTCATTTGTAAATGTATTAACACAATCTTGAGGGGTAAAAAACTTTAATTAGATATGAGACAGATGATAAAAATTTGTCTGTTGTTAGTTTCCATAATATTTTATTTCTATGGTAAAATCACTTGTCAAGCTGTATTAAACAAACATGCATCAGCAGCTGAGAGAGTATAAGGCTATATCCTTTATTATTATCTGTGAATTGAGATGATTATTTACCCTTTTAGTTTGTGTTTACTTGAGTGGGATTGAGTAGAGTAATTGTATCGATGTTAAAGGTAAAAGTTGCTTAAATAAAACCTCAACCATTAATCATTCAGTCACATTTTTCTAGCACGCTGCAACAATATGATTATATTTTGTGTTGATGTAGCGTTAATTGTTAAATATTCTTATTCTTTTTATGCTACTAACCAACATTTTTTTGTAAACAATTGTGAACTGGATTTTAACAAATAAAGGGTCCATGAAGACCAATGATCAGAGCAGACAGGTCAAGGAGAAAGTCATAGGGAAGATTAAAGCAGAGTTAAGTTTTAGACAAATATCCAGAGATTTGGACATTTGAAAATGTAGCTATGAATCTCGCTCCACCTAAACTGACAGGCCTTACAAGGAGAGATTGAGACAATAGATGAGACGTCAGCTGGAAAACATTATGTGTGGCAAAAAGTTACCACTACACATAACCATGGACACATTAAGCCCATTGGGAAATGCGGGGTTGATAGCATTATGCTGTGGGATCACTTCAGTACTGAGAGGGAACCTGGTCAGACTTCAAGGACATATAGATAGAGCTAAATACAGGACAGTCCTACCAAAGCAAAGCACATATGAAACGACTGTGGAAAGGTTTTTGTTCCTATTGTTTGCATATTACTTTAGATTGGCCTAGTCTAATATCTAATGTAATTCTAGTTAAAACTATGAATAAAAATCTGGTTGAGACAGACAAAATTGATTATTTTTTATTTTTTTTTTGTACGATAATGTTATAATTCTTGTTTGTATGTCACAAAAATAGCCCCGTTATATATATATATATATATATATATATATATATATATATATATATATATATATATATATATATATATATATATATATATATATATATATATATATATATATATATATATATATATATATATATATATATATATATATATATGTATATATGTATCTATCTATCTATATATATATATATATATATATATATATATATATATATAGATAGATAGATACATATATACATATATATATATATATATATATATATATATATATATATATATATATATATATATATATATATATATATATATATATGTATATATCTATCTATCTATCTATCTATATATATAAATATATATATATATATATATATATATATATATATATGTATGTATGTATATGTATGTATATGTATATATATTATCTGTACTCTCTTTTCTTTTTTTAAGTGAATTTGTTTTTAAGGTTAATTTGTTAAATCAAAGGTTTAAACCTGGACCTCAGTTGAGACAGAAACGATAGTCCACTCAGGTAGACTTTGATGTATACTGACAGAGTGAAAATGGCTGCATTTGCCGCATCTCTGAGCTGTGTATCTTTTACCGACCTTTGGACTACATTTCACTCCAGGCATGGATAGCGTGTAAAAAAATGTCTCCAAGTGTTCTTTGTTCATATGCTCTGAGTCAACCTTCAAAATTTTCTCTTGTTTCTCAGCAACGTTTCTGAATTAAGTGTATTTTTTCAAGCTGTTGACATGATTTTTATATTCAAACAACAAAAACTGACATTGAATGGTTGGATTTTTTTAGTCTTGAGGAATGTTACTCAGTTTTCATGATTCTAACTTCTTCATTTGTCATTACATATTGTTAAAATGCGTTATTTTCTTTTTCTCTTCCCTTAGACGCACCCCCAGCAGATGGAGGTAAGAAAAATACTCCATGCTTCACATGAAGGTCTGACTGGACATACAGATTTCTTATGTATCATATGCACATACATAATCTGTTTTATGTATGCAAGTAAAAAATGCATACATGTGCCCGTCTGTTTGACAGTGGCAGCAGCTGTATGAGCTTCGTGTTTCATTTGCAAAGTTATTTTTTTCTGATGACCCTCATAAATTATCAGTGTCTTTCTTCATAAATATGCAAAATGAATTTTATGAGCATATAAAATCGAATTAACATGATAGTGGTCACTAACCGCTGTGCTGCTCTAATGCATTATTCATTTTGGACTCAGTGGCCTATGTTTTGCTTTTATCCCACTTGATTAACATATTTGTATACTGTGCATGTGAGATAAAAAAAAAATGCTTTTGAGCTTCAGAGGGCTGTTCTCTTAACTTTTAGTATCTTCTCTATTTTTAAATTGCTGTATTTGTTTTCACATATGTAAGCTTTAGCATGTTCTAGTTATGTGCAAACTTATGCAGAGCTTTGTATGCATGCAGGAAAACTGAATAAAAGACTTATAAGCTTATCTGTAAGATGTGGTTTGGCTTCAGGTTATTTTTCTTGGTGACTGTGCATGATATCTCTATTTTGGCAACTTTGGCAAGTAAAGCATATTTTTATACAATAGCTGTTGCTTCAAAGCAGCTTTTTTCAGTGGTTTTGCTTCCTTGTTTGCGGCAGGTTCAGAAGCTGATGATGATGGTAAGAAATAAAGGAAATATGTCTGTAGACAGTGTATGTTGACGTTGAGTTCATATAACCTTAGGTTGTAGTTTTACTTTTTGATCTATTGTATTCCAATTAATTTTTCCAATTATTCTGTATTATTTTGACTGCTTCACTGTGGACTGATGTAAAATCTAATTTAATCCTCTTTAACTTTACAACTCTTTGCTTTGCTTTTGAAACTTTTTACAATTAGATGTACCAATCAGAGGCTGTTGTTAAAAAGTGACAGATTACACCCATCACAGAATTGTAAAGTGTGCAGCTGCCTGACGAAGTTGAAAACCTTTGTTCTCCTGATGAGTAAGTTTAATGAAGGAGGCTCTCTGAGCCTCTACGGATCACAGGTGATCATCTGCTGTATGCAGGTACTTTACTCTCAACGGATAAAGATTAAACAGGTTAAGATTTGAACAAATTATCAAAAGGTGTATCTTTCTATCCCTTTTTGTTAGCTGTAGGATTCCAGGGACATACAGTAAATTCTTGTCAGTCACACATAAAACCTCTAATAATATTCCATCTCTTTAAACTGATATTTATCTTAAGACATACAATCTAGTTGCTGTATTATTATACCTTTTTCTGACTGAATGAGGAGCCCAGGATATTCATACAAGTAGCATCAAATCTGAGGCCTGAAAGACACATTGCAACCAAGCAAGACTGTTGCAGATAGAAATATAAAGCCAAGAAAAGCTGCTGCACTTAGTACAAAACAAAATTTCCTTTTATATTACCTCTCTGTATACAAAATGACAATAAAAGTTGTCTAAGTCTAAGAATAGTGAAATATGTTAGTATAACAACAACAAATTATTATCCTGCATTAAGGTATAAACTCTTGATTTATGATGTTAAATTACCCTCAACAAAGGGCTGTAGAAAATAGGCCAAATATTGGTTTAGAGTTATAAATCATAAACCACATTAATGGCTGTGTCAAGTTCTAAACAAGATAGCATAAAACAATATAATCTGAATAATAATGACAACTTGTATCTGAAAGGAAGCAATTTTTATGACTGACTTAAAAAAAAATCATGTTAAAAAATGTAAGTATAGCCTTAAATGGGGAACTTAAAATGAACAACTACACTAATTTGTCCATCTCTGGACAAAAACCTGAAATGTTAACCCTGATCATAACATTAGTTTTAGATTTTAACCCACTGCGGCATTCAAGCTGATGTGGGATGAAGTGAGGCACGGAAGATGAAAATTATCTCACTTCTTTCCAAGAACACAGTGCAATAAAATGTTGGAAACTGACATACAGTCTTTATCCTATAAAAAACATCAAAACACTCCAAAACAAGCAGCACTGAAGTAAGGCACCTTCAGCCATGCTTCCTTTTCAGTAGCTGCAGTTTTTTTTCCGACAGCAGCACCTACATGAAAGAAGTCAGTGCAATTACTAGGTGTTAACTTTGCAAATGTTTTAATGTGGCTAAGTTTTAAAGTATTCTATTTGGTGCTTATACATCTGATGTGATCTCAGTTTTATTGCATTACATTTTTCCTCTGACCAGCTTCAGTCCAGCGCAGTACATAATAACACAAAGAATGTATATTAACAATCAAACAAATTTGTCTATCACTGCAATTGTATATAAAAAAAAATGTCCTCTCATTCAACCCAACCCTACAGAGCAGTGAGCAGTTTGCAGCTCTTAGGGAGCAATGTGAGGGTCTTAAGGGTCTTGCTAAGGGCTCCAGAGAGACTGGGGTTTGAATTGGGAGTCTCTCTGCCTTTTCTAGGAAACAAATGCTGCTGTTCAACCACTATTTAAATGGTCACACATCTATAGAGTTCTAATGGGATTAGACTTTAGTAGGAAGAAAATAGCCAGAGTTTGATTTCTTAATTTGAAAACTAGGTTTTTAATACTATTGTGACAAAAAAAAGCCTCCTAGTATTTTTCTAAGATGTTGTATAAAACCGCCTGACAAAAACTCTCAACAAATCCTTGCTCTAAAAGGACCTCTTGACTTCTGTGTCTATACATTTACTTATGGACATGATTCTGTGTACCAGACACTTCTCATAGACATGTGTGTGCTTTCTGACCTTTACAATTCTTTTCTCCATGAGCAGAGGCCTGCTCCTACCATCTGTGACTTATGATACTGCACTCTCTTCTGCTCCTATCCCTTAGGCAGTGCGAACAATGAGAGCAGAAACACAGCTGTGTTGAAGTACAACACCAGCAGCTGTTACTGTTAACATGCCAGCGTCATCTGATTTCATTACACATTTATGCTCAGTTCGTGGGTTAAGTTTGAACCACACTTAGATTTGGAAGTCAACCAGTGAAGTCCTTGAGGCAATCCTCATTCACTGGCTCTGGGAGTCATGCTCAGAAGCCTTCAGATAATACCTTTAACTGGAAACAGCAGCCTTTAAGACAGATCATTAAATATAACGACTAATGAAGTATGGTGTTAGACATTAGCTCGGGTTTTGTAAATGAAACCCAGAAGCTGTAAATCATATCAGCTGTGCTTGTCTCTTAATTTTATATGAGTAGACCTTTTCCCCCCAGTTTTTATTAGATAGGAGGAGATAAAATGGAAAGATATAACAGCATCAACACTTTAGAAACATTTCATGTCAGATTTTGCAGGGTCTGAGACAGGTTGCCTAGGGTGCAAAACTTTGTGTAATAGTCTTTTTCCACTGTTTCTGCCACAAAAAAAAAGTAATCTTATTTTGCATTTGAAACAAACTATCCATGTTCTCTACAGGAACAAATGAAATGCTAATATTAGGTTAGTGTGCACTGGGCTCCCAGAGAGAGAATAATGGCTCCGTAGACTTTATATTTTCCTGATATTAGCTGTTTTTGCTCAATTTTAATTGAAACAAATTATATTTGGGAGTCAGTTTTACTCATTCTAGAGATAGAGCAAATGCTTTTTTTCTTAGTAAATTTATTTTCATTTATCAAGTCATACTGTTTCTGCAATAAGTCTAAAATCTTGAGCTCACATTTATGTCTGACAATGTGAAAGAGAAGTATCTGTGAAACTTGTTTTACTTTTCTAAAGACGAAAAGTTTAACATTTAAAACTGTTTGGGTCTTAAATAACAAAAAAAAGGGGGGGGGGGTGTTTTAATATCTTTAAATAGATGTTACTCATGACATTTTATTCCAGAGGTTTAATTTCTATACACTTTCCTATTGCTAAAAATAGTCAAATTTAAATGAAACAACAATAATTGTTGTTGAATGATAGAGAAAACTTAGTGCAAAGATTTGGTAATTTCATTGATGAGAAAATTAATCAATATTTAGGATTCTAAACTGTTGATCACAGGTCAGGGTCCCTCAAGCTTAAAACCAGTCGTTACAAAGTCTGTACCGAAAACGACCACACTGATGGTTACATAAACACTACTGTACACTACATTGGGAAATAAATATGTTTGAGTATAAATAGTTGTCCTCAAAAAGGAGCTGTTTTGGTTCAGCTTTGAGTTCAAAAAGGGATATTTTGAGTAAAAATGGGAGAAATTATGTCAGACTGATCAACCCTTCCTTCCTTCCTTCCTTCCTTCCTTCCTTCCTTCCTTCCTTCCTTCCTTCCTTCCTTCCTTCCTTCCTTCCTTCCTTCCTTCCTTCCTTCCTTCCTTCCTTCCTTCCTTCCTTCCTTCCTTCCTTCCTTCCTTCCAATGCACAACCATGAACACCCACACACTCACACCTAAGGACAATGTAGAGACATCAAATAACCTAACAGTCATGTTTTTGGACTGAGGAAGGAAGTTGGAGTACCTGGAGATATCCCAACGATGCACTGGAAGAACACGCAAGCTCCATACAGAAAGATCCTAGGCCACAAATTGAACCCATAATCTTCTTCTGTAAAGCAGAACAACCTATGCAACCGTGCAGCATGGAGAAAAACATAGTCGTAAAAAACAGAGGAGCAAATGCTATCTGTGTACAATCTTCTTCAACTTAAGTAAATCTTACATTGTGACTGTTTGATAGTATAAGAATTCAAATTTAAGCTATAAGGACTATGAAGTGGCCTGCAAAAAATAAATAAATAAATAAATAAATAAATATATATATATATACATATATATATTTTTTTTATAACTGTCAATGTCTGCCCATGGGTTTTAAGAGAACCTCTTGCAAAACCTGTTATTTTAATGTTCTAAAATACATTATCATATTATTTAACTCTTAATAACCAAGCCCTATTGAATGCAGTGGTGGGGGGGGATCATTGGAAATAATTTCAAAGCCAACACGACAACAAATTCCAATGAAATGGAGGATAGGTTTTCCTGACGGGCTACCCATCATTTTTACCTTCTATTTTTGATATTTATATGTTTCAACACCTGTTGTGATTCCAATGTGGGTATTGAACTACAAAGAGTTTTCCTTTGCCGTATTTATGACAGGAAGAATTTCCATGAGTGAAGTGCTGATCATAGCAAGGCTGTTTCCAGCCAAATAAACTGGGGTATAGAGTTTAGGGGATTATCTCCACTTGAACAGCGGCCATGTGGTTTGGCTCATCTAAATTATTACTTAGCTGTAGCAGAAAATTATTACTTATAGGGAAACCTTCTCTTTAAGTTAACCTACTCTGATTTAGCTTTTTATTTTTTTTCTTGGATCAAAACTATGACTCCGATTTCCTTTAAAAAAGTGTTTTTTATATTTCTCACAACTTCATGATATCAGTCCAAAGAAAGCAATCAAAGTAATAACGGATAATTATTCTTGGATTTGATGATTAAACTTGAAGTAATCAATATATTTGATTACTTTACAATAGTCTAGGAAGGTCATGATCTTACCATCATGAACGATACTGTTTGAAATGGATGGAGTGCTGTGTAAATATGATAATAATTTATTCACTTTTAAAAAATTGCTTGATTCTAGAGCAGATAACATGTAAGGAACACCCTCCTCTGTCTGACATCAAGCTCATTTTCTTGTCTTGTTTATTCCCTATTGACCTATGGTAAAGTATAACTTTAGGTTGTTATACTTCCATGTCTTAAAAAGTGATGTTTGTTCTTCCCAGCTGAGAAAAACGCTGCGGGGCAGGGTAAGAGCGTGATGAGTGACATCACAGTGAAACACTGTTGATTTGCATGACTGAGATGATTGAATCCTAAATGTTTGTCAAATGTTGTGCTTTATCTATATGTTGGGTTTAGGCAACTCTTTCATTGCTGTGTCCAGTCCAGGCTGTTACTATAACACAATGAGCACATTTATACAGTAGCTGGAGAATACTGGTAAAGATTTATTTAAATAAACTGAGAATGCATGTTGATACCAGGCCAAGTTTAGGCCAGTTACTGACATACTTAATACAGTTGATTCAAATGGTCAAATAAATCAGATGTTTCTGAACTTTAAGGCTTCTGACCCACAGAAATAACACCAGAATGGAGTCATTACCCAAACTGTTGGTTGGATTACAAACAATAAAAAAAAACCTATTAACTATAGGTATACTATAGTGATAAAAACACCATTAAAAATACATTTTTAGCTTCCAATTATTTATACACATACATATGCTTGACCATTATCATATTTATCGATCAGTTTGATGTCTGTGAATGATCTCAGGAACCCTGCTTGTTGATGTGGGACCCAAAATGGGGCAATGACCTCTGTGTGGGAATCACTGGAATAAACTTGACTCTGATCCCATCAAGTAGCAGAGATCTGCGAATGACAGATGTTTTGCCCAAGTTTGTTGGAGCAGGCGCATCAGACCTCCAAGGCCTGAAATCTGAGACTATCAAATAAGAAAAGTTTTTCATGAAAGAAACACCTGGATCATCTCTGGGGACTCTTTGCAGGTCCCTAATGAGGCTACTTTACCCGTTCCAAGCAATTATATACCAACAATAGCCAACATAGGATTATCCAGCTATTCTAGGAAAGAAATAATGAATGATTAACTGAGTTCTGTCATGATCGGTTTAGAGATAAACCCACATGCAAAACACCACTGAGACTTGGTAAAAGGTTTAACAGAGTTTATTAAAGTTTCACACAAGACAAGATTCAGGTTCTGGTCCGGGCAGGATTCTCTGGCGTCTGCAGAGACGGATAGTTGGTTAGCTGGGTATGCAGATAAGTTAAATGGGTTTTCAGATATTTCAGTGGATACCTTGAAGAGGTCCAGGTTTGTTCCGAGAGAGGGAACCGGTTGGGTCCAGAGACTGTTGGTTCAGCAGAGTGCTTAGGCAGCAGCAGCGTCTTACTTCTGACTTCCAGTGAACAGACCTTGGTTGAAGTGATTAGCTCTTTCCCAAGAGCAGCAGGTGGATTCCAGAAAGTAGTCTTCAGGTTTGGCTCTCTAGGGCAGGCAGGCAGATTCAGGTTAAGCTCATCCAGAGCTTCTCTCGAGAGACTGGTTTCCTAGGAGCGAGAAGACAGAGGCAATTAGAATAAGGTTTCTCTAGGAAGATAGCTATTAGTAAATTCAGAGGCTCAGGTTCGCTAACCAAACTTGGCTAACACTGCGGCGTCGAAGCAAGGTCTGGCAGCTGCTTATAAAGGCCGGTCTCCTGATGAGCTGATGAGCGTCAGCTGTGCTGGAGGGCTCCAGCCCAGGAGGATCCACAGCGCACTCTGCTGGAGAAGGTGGAGAATCTCCAGATCCCAACAAGTTCATGAGTTAAATTTCTCATTTAGAGAGCATTCTAGACAGTCCTCATCATAAAAGTCTCTAATTTTTCTGGAAAAATAATTAACTGTCTATTAAATTATGAAGTATAAATTCCACGCAATTTGATTGGTAGGATTCAGAGATAAATTAAAATGAAAGGAGTATTAACACTAAATTTCTAAAAACCATAGTAAATGTGAATATTATTCTGCAACCTGTGGCCAAAACACAGAGCTGCAGCACTCTTCTGTTTGTTCTCGTAGTTCATGTTCATATTTAACAAGGCTTTTTCCCATTTTCTTCACCTTATATGGAGATGCCATTGGTGTCCTAGTTGAGCTGGATACCTGTCGCTTCTGAGTATCCACAAAATCCATCTTAAATATAACGCTTTGATTTTTTGTGAGGTCGGACCCATTTAACTTAAACATGCTTGACATCACTTTTGATCAAAAAGATATATTTCCGACAACAAAACACCATTATCACAATGGATTAACAACTAAATGGAGTTCAAATTTGACCTAATATCAAGAATTATTGAACTGGCATATATTCAATGGTTTTAGACACATTTGTCAATTGAATGTGTGTTTTAATTTCATTTAATCATCATTTACATATTCATTCATACGTACATAGATATATGGTTTAAATCCGCTTACTTGTGTAGGGTTATAGAGATGCATGGCTTAAGATCTATGGGGTACACCATGAAGAAGTCACTAGTCCATCACAGGAGCAACACCTTTAAACAGACACTGTAATATAATAATTAATAATTTATTTTATTTTATTAATCATTGACTTTAATGCATTTAGACACTTAGTATGAACCTGTCAGGACAACTTGTAGCAGAATGTTAATTTAAGATAGGGTTTAAAAGCCAGTTCTTTTAGACCTTTAACTGAATGCTAAATGTAGAACTGGCATAAAGAGTGTGAAAGTGTAAAGGTCAACAGCTGCTTATTCTTTGTACAAGTCTTAATGTTATTACAGTCAGTATTCGTTATATAATTACAGACTTTGTAATTTTTACACCACTGTAAAGTTTTTATGTTTCTGGAATTTTTGCCTGCCTGGAAGTGTAATTTGCTCCATGTGCCGTTAGGTAGAGAGGCTCTCAGTGTTGTCGCTTTACTGACAAGCAATCGGAAACTTTTGCTTAAAATGAGCATTCAAAAAACCTAGAAGAACAACATGATACATTGTTAGAACGATAGGACCTGTGCAAGCTTGTGATACATGTCTGTAATGCCAGTTTGATGTCTCCTACAACAGCAGAAAATCCTGTGGATTAAAGATTGTCATTGAAGCAGCTCTAAGCCATTTTGGGAATGTTGTCGAGTGAAATCTGTGTCAATGCCATTGGCTTGTCTATGCTTTTGCTGCACTCCTGCTGCTCGATTAGATTTTGAAATAGCAGTTCAAAGCTTAATTGATTAAGATTTTACTGTTTTTATTTTCAGAGAATCAATCAACTACACTCACTGGGCTTTTTGTGGAGAAGCCGGCAGAGAATGTGGTTGCTGTTGCAGGTCAGATACACTGATGTTTCCTGCTCACTCAGACTGGACTCTGGAAAACCCTGATGTGTAAAGTGTCAGGATTTATTGTAATGATTTTTGACTTGTGAACCGGCAGGATCGGATGTGACCTTCGTAGCCAAGGTGGACTCAAGTTCCCTGATGAGAAAACCCACTATGAAATGGCTGAAGGGAAAGTGGTTGGACCTTGGCAGCAAGGCTGGCAAACACTTGCAATTCAAAGAGACATATGACAGAAACACCAAGGTACGTGTGTGTCTCTGTATGTAAGCCCATAATGAATGTTGAATGTTTAAAATTTCATTGCATCACAAAAACAAACTTAGATATAATTTATTGGGATTTGATTTTAGTGTCATTTTGTTAACAGGGGGAAACAATATACATTTCTACAACAACACTATACATTGTTTTTAGTAAAATAGCTTTATCTCGGATTCAGATGAAGATCACAGATTTTTAAGCCTTAACAAAAATGTAATTTTATATTTAGCTCTGGACTTTTATTGAGCCATTCTACCACATGACCAGGGTTTTAGCTAAACCATTGTAAATGTGATGAATATGATTGTTGGAGCCTATTAAGAATTAGATTCATTTATCTTTTGCAAAATTATTAATGTTAAAGAGCTAAGGTTATGTGAATGGTAGAGTTATTGTTTATTTGTTTATGTATTTGTTTTGCTTTGACCCTCCTCCTTGTCAGTCCGCCTCCTGCTGAGATTAACAAGTAGAAGCAGCTGATGAGGTGGAGCTGATTGTTTGTTTGAAGGAGTGAGGAGTGCAACAGTTTTTTTCACACACATCACTTAACTTTATATTTGAATTTTTGTAAGTCAACTCTGAGAATATTTCTGTTATTTTTTATTAGTAAAGAAAACACCCTTATTTTGAAACAAGAAAATTCTCCACGAGTGCTTTTTGTTTTGTGAGTCGAAAAACCTCCTCCTAAGACTACTCTGGCAATTTTTGATTTTTTTGGAAACTTTTTTGATGCAAGAGTAGCCGCAACAAGTGAAAAAACTTCACTGATGACTTGAAGAAGAGCCTAAAGTCGGGAGCTGCCAGCCGATCACGCTCTGATGCGCAAAGAAAGCAGCCAGCGGGCCGTGAGTACAATCAGCTGACTGAGTTTATGAATGAAGGCGCCGCTGCGCTACAAAGAATGATCGATAACTACAGAAAGCAAAGCTGTTGATTTCAAAGAAGGATGCTTATTGATGAACTTACTTGAAAGTGAAAAGATCGGTGTGGTCATTAACAATGTTGGACCCTAAATCCACGCCTGCGTCTGAGAACATGTTAAAAGAGCGCGTCCTTTCGCGCAGAGGCAGATTGGGAGCCTGCACTAGAAAGATTAATGAAATAAAGGCTTTGATGACGGATGCAGGAAATATTCATGAAGTCAATGATTTAGTACAAGCATTTAAGGAAGCCGTGGATGAGTTTAAAAATGCTCATAGGTTGGTTCAAGAGCTCTTATCAGAGGACGAAAAGGAAAATGATTATAATGACTGGTTTGAGCCTCGAATAACTAACTTAAACTATTTTTTGAAAGATGTCGAAACATGGAAAAAAGACATTGTACAATCAACAATCAAACCATCAGACAGCATATCTAATGTATCAAAGAAATCAAAGTCATCTTCTTCCACATCCAGATCTTCCTCAGTCTCTTCAGAGTTAAAAAAGGCCAAAGCAGAACAGGCTGCTGCACTGGCACGAGTTGCTGCCTTGAAAGAAAAACATGCTTTACAAATGGAGGAAGCAAAATTAAAGTTAAAGATGGAGCAAATTGAGCTAGAAGCTGATCTTGCAGCATCAAATGCTAAAATAAAGACCTTGCAAAGTGTTGAGGTGGACCAGGAACCGTCTTTAGGTGACGGCATGAATGAATATTATAGCTCTCATCAAGAACCACATTCGATAGAGGGCAATGTGGAATTTATGCATTTAGGTGCTATACCAAAGACTCCACTTCAACGGACCATTTTGGAGAGATGTAAATCGTCTCCCAGTAGATTAAGGACAGCAGAGAATAAACCCCAAAATAGGAATCCCACTGAAAGTGAAACTGAAGCTGCAATTTATGATCATAACGCATCTGAAACTGCACAAGATTACCCAGAGGTGGCTGTTACTGCTGATAATGAAAATTTGAATGTTGTTATTCAAAGACAAAATGACATAGCAGAACTCATTGTCAGCCAGCAAAATCTGTCTTTGTTACCTCCAAGAAATATTTCTGTGTTTGATGGTAACCCATTAGAATACCAGTCTTTTATTCATGCATTTGAACAATTAATCGAAGACAAGACTAAAAATAATAAAGACAGACTGTATTATCTAGAACAATTTACATCTGGTTTGCCAAGAGATTTAGTTCGCAGTTGCTTACATATGGAAGGAAGTAAAGGCTACAGGGAAGCTAAACAACTATTAAAGGAACATTTTGGAAATGAGATGAAAGTTTCTGGAGCTTATTTGGATAAAGCCTTGAACTGGCCAGCAATTAAAGCTGAGGATGGAAAGATGCTGTATGCATATGCAATGTATTTGAGAGGATGTTGTAATGCAATGCAAGATTTACAGTACTTAGAGGAACTTGAAATCCCATCAAACTTAAGGCTGTTAGCATCCAAACTACCTTACAAACTGCGAGAAAGATGGCGAACCACAGCTTATGAAATACAACAGAAAACTGGCAGGAGAGTCAGATTTAAAGATCTTGTCAAGTTTGTGGAAAACCATGCTAACATGCTTTTGGATCCTTTGTTTGGAGACCTTCAAGACCAAACAACAACCAAAAAAACATGCCCAAGAGGCAAAGGTGAACTAAAATCAATTAGAGGTAAGAACAGTAGCTTTGCAACATCAATAGTTACAGAGAAAACAGGATGTGCTATAAAGCAATCCGTTTTGTCTCCACCACCTCCAGAATCCCCACCCATTGCCAATATCTCTCACTGTGGATTCTGCCAGGGAAAACACAACTTAGCTGACTGTCTGCGTTTTAAAGCAGAGTCGCATGATTGTAAAGTTGAATTTTTGAGAAGTCACGGATATTGCTTTGGTTGCCTACTTAAAGGTCATTTAAGCAAAAATTGTAAGAGGAGACTAACATGCCAAGTTTGTCGAATGAAACATCCAACAGTACTCCATATTAAAAGTGTAAACGTTTCAAAGCAGGACAGTCAAACGGAGATTGAAGAAACTCCCATAAGTAGTGCTCTTGTTTCAGCAGGTGATGTAAACGGGGCCGGGAAAGATTGTGCACTAGCCATTGTGCCTGTCCGTGTTAAGGTGGCAAAAGGGGACAAATATATTCAAACCTATGCTTTCCTTGACCCAGGCAGCACGGCAACGTTTTGTACTGAAAGATTGATGAACCGGCTAAATTTGAAAGGACGCAAAACAGAGATACTTCTGCGAACAATGGGACAGGAAAAGCCTGCAGGAATCTACGAGGTTAGAGGACTAGAGGTGGGAGATATTGATGGCTGCACATACTTGGACCTGCCGAAAGTTTACACACAGGATAATATACCTGTCTCAACAGAAAACATCATCACACAAGCTGACCTGGAGATGTGGCCTCATCTCAGGAGTGTCCCTTTAAAGAAAATCGAGGCAGACATTGAACTCCTCATTGGAACTGATGTTCCTCGAGCATTAGAGCCATGGAAAATAATAAACAGTCATGATAATGGACCGTATGCAGTGGAAACGGTACTTGGATGGGTGGTAACTGGACCACTTGGTGTTGATAGTACCACAGAATATGATGGGCCTATTGCAGTGTCCAGTAACAGAATTTCTGTTACTGAATTGAAGGATATGCTCATCAGACAATATAACCAGGATTTCTCTGAGAACCTGTATGAAGAGAAAAATGAGATGTCTGTTGAGGATAAGCGTTTTATGGAGATTGCTTCTGGCTCATTGTATATGAAAGATGGACACTACCACCTACCACTTCCTTTTAGAAACAAAGATAAAGTTATGCCTGATAACTATAAAATGGTTAAGGAACGCACACTGCACCTTATGAAAAAATTTAAGAAGGATAAGTTGTACACAGAAGAATACACATCCTTCATGGAGGACATTTTGAAAAAGGGCTATGCAGAAAAGGTTCCATTTGAGCAACTTTGCAGGAAGGATGGACATGTCTGGTACATTCCACATCATGGTGTTTACCATAAGCGAAAGCACAAACTGAGGGTGGTGTTTGACTGTACATCCTCATTTCAAGGAACCTCTCTGAACAAGGAGCTCCTCCAAGGCCCTGATTTAACAAACACCCTTATTGGGGTATTGTTAAGGTTTCGCCAAGAACCCATTGCAGTAATGGCAGACATTGAAGCAATGTTTTATCAAGTCTTTGTTGATGAAAATGACAGAGATTTGCTGAGGTTTCTGTGGTGGCCAGAAGGTTACATTAACAAACCTCTTGAGGTTTACAGGATGAAAGTTCACCTCTTTGGCTCTGTATCATCCCCAAGCATTGCTAATTTTGCTCTGCGTCAAACTGCTGCTGACAACCAGAAACATTATTCTGATGAAATTATCAAAACCATTAAAAGTAACTTTTATGTAGATGATTGCCTCCGATCAGTGGCAACAGTGAACCAGGCAATGAAGCTTGTCACAGATCTCACCAAAATTTGCAGTGAGGGAGGTTTTACATTAACAAAATGGGTCAGCAACAGCAATGAAGTGCTGGCAAGCATCCCTGAACATCACAGAGCTGGAGCATTCAAGGAACTAGATCTGGATAAAGAAAAGCTGAAAGAACAAATAACAGTTGAGTCTGCACTTGGACTCCACTGGGATACTCTCAGTGATACCTTCAGCTTTAAAGTCACCATCAGGAGTCGACCTGCTACCAGAAGAGGTATACTCTCCACAGTGAGTTCAGTATACGACCCATTAGGATTCCTTTCTCCTTTCATCTTGAAAGCCAAACAGTTACTTCAGGAACTCTGCAAATCCAAGTATGGATGGGATAATGTCATTCCCCAGGAATTTGCAAAGCCTTGGCAAAGATGGCTCAAGGAGTTAAATCTGCTACATGACTTTCAAGTTGCAAGATGCATGAAGCCTGAAAACTTTGATCCCGTGGAAACTGCTGAACTGCATCACTTTTGTGATGCAAGTGAGTCAGGCTATGGTACAGTAAGCTACCTCAGATTAACAAATCACCAAGGTCAAATCCATATCTGCTTTATATTTGGAAAAGCTAGAGTGGCACCTCTAAAGCAGATGACCATACCCAGACTGGAACTAACAGCAGCAACATTGGCTGTTAAGGTGGATCGAATGCTAAAGAAGGAGCTGCATTTACCACTTTCTGATTCAACTTTCTGGACAGATAGTACCTCTGTCTTGAAATATATTCACAATCAAACTAAAAGATTTCACACTTTTGTATCCAACAGGATTGCTGTAATCCATGACCTCTCCCACACCAGCCAGTGGAGATACATAAGTTCAAAAGTCAACCCAGCCGACGACGCATCAAGAGGGCTATATGTAGAATCTTTCTTAAGATCAAAATGGCTGACTGGTCCTGAATATCTCAGCAGAGAAAAAGGAACATGGCCGAAACACACAGAAGGTCTGAAAGAAATACCAGCGAACGATCCAGAAGTGAGAAAGGAGATCACAGTTAACAGTGTGATAATGGAGGATCAACATCCAATATGCAAGATGATAAAGTATCATTCATCATGGAACCGACTTCAGAAGTCTGTAGCCTGGGTATTAAAGGTTAAAAGACATCTTCTACTGCTAAGCCAGCAAAGAAAAAGTCAAACTCACCTGTCTTCAGAAGTGATGAAAAAGTTGGAAAATCAACACGAGACGCAATACTTATCAGTGGAGGACATGCAGAATGCAGAGAAAGCAATCATTTGTTTTGAACAAGAACGCCACTTTCACTGTGAATTTACTTGCTTGGAACAAGGCAAACCTCTCAGTTCAAGAAGTACCATCCTCAAACTGGATCCGATGCTCGATGGTGGCATCTTGAGAGTTGGTGGTAGGATAAACAAAAGCGCAATGCCATTCCACCAGAAAAACCCGATCATTCTACCTAAAGGTTCACATTTATCTAACCTCATCCTACAACAAATTCATCACCAAGTTGGACATTCAGGAAGGAGCCACATGCTCTCCAAGCTAAGGCAGAAATTCTGGCTCCCTCATGCAAACTCCTTAGCCAGAAAAATCATCAAGAGCTGTGTATTCTGTAGACGCATGCAGGCAAAACCTGGTGAACAGAAGATGTCAGACCTTCCTGAGGACCGTTTATTTCCAGACCTACCTCCTTTCAGTCATGTTGGCATTGACTACTTTGGTCCTATTGAAGTAAAAAGGGGACGAGCTCAGGTGAAACGATGGGGCGTCATATTCACCTGTCTGGTGAGTCGAGCTGTCCACCTAGAGATGGCAAACTTCTTAACAACAGATTCATGCATAAATGCTATACGCAGATTCATCTGCAGAAGAGGATCAGTGATGAGCATCAGAACAGACTGTGGGACAAACTTTGTGGGAGTACAAAAGGAATTACAAGAAGCATTAAAAGAGCTAAATCATCAGAAAATCCAAAAGACCCTTTTAGTAGAGGGAATAAAATGGATTTTTAACCCACCTTTTGGGGCTCACCATGGTGGAGTCTGGGAAAGACTAATACGTCTAATCAAGAAGACCCTCACATCTGTCCTTAGGGAACAAACACTGGATGATGAAACCCTGTCAACAGCACTATGTGAAGTGGAAGCCATCCTAAATGACAGGCCAATAACTTCAGTGTCGAATGACCCTAATGATTTAGAACCACTAACACCAAACCATTTACTCCAGCTGAAAGGAAAAGCAACCTTACCACCAGGAGTCTTTGAGAAAACAGATCAATATTCAAGAAGAAGATGGAGACAATCACAGTATCTTGCAGATCTTTTCTGGAGACGTTGGACAAGGGAGTATCTTCCACTTATGCAAGAACGAAGCAAGTGGAACAGCAAAAGGAGGAACTTCAGCCCTGGAGATCTGGTTGTTATTGTGGATAACTCAGCACCAAGGAGCGCATGGACAATGGGTCGTGTGATAAGGATTTTTCCAGATGCCAAAGGTTTTGTTAGAAGCGTTTTGGTTAAAACCAAAGCCAAAGTCATCCAGCGACCAATAGATAAGCTCTGTCTTTTAATGGAGGCAGCTGGATGAAATAAGACTTTCTATGGACTGCTTTAAGCATTAGAAATGTTGAGAAGCTCTAGGTAACATTTATGGACAAAAGAATGAAGTTTATGTAATGTTTTTGCTAGATGTTAGGCTCCTGTGAATATTATTTTTGTAATTGTTATTTTGCTAAGGCTAACAATTAGGGGCCGGGATGTTGGAGCCTATTAAGAATTAGATTCATTTATCTTTTGCAAAATTATTAATGTTAAAGAGCTAAGGTTATGTGAATGGTAGAGTTATTGTTTATTTGTTTATGTATTTGTTTTGCTTTGACCCTCCTCCTTGTCAGTCCGCCTCCTGCTGAGATTAACAAGTAGAAGCAGCTGATGAGGTGGAGCTGATTGTTTGTTTGAAGGAGTGAGGAGTGCAACAGTTTTTTTCACACACATCACTTAACTTTATATTTGAATTTTTGTAAGTCAACTCTGAGAATATTTCTGTTATTTTTTATTAGTAAAGAAAACACCCTTATTTTGAAACAAGAAAATTCTCCACGAGTGCTTTTTGTTTTGTGAGTCGAAAAACCTCCTCCTAAGACTACTCTGGCAATTTTTGATTTTTTTGGAAACTTTTTGATGCAAGAGTAGCCGCAACAATGATATTCCAATGAATCTCAGGACTTCTGCAGTCTCTAAGGAGTTTTCAAATTACCTTAGATTAAGATCTGTGTATCACCCCCCTGCTTGAACAAGCTTTATGCACCTACTGAAGGAAAAAAATCCCACAGCTTGATGTAGCCATCACCATGTTTAATTTTAGTGATATTCAGGCATGATTATCCCAACACAAACCATTGAGAGAACTTTCACATTTAGTCTCATCTGACCAGGGGAATAGCTTCCACATATGGACCCACATGGCTTGTGCAGTCCTGATTCTCATTGCTTTCTTGAAACCCTTTCTTCTCCTTGCCTTTTTTCTGAAAATATTTCTGGAGAGTACAACTAATAGTATCTACTTCTTCTACCACCTCAGCTATTAACATTTTCAAGTCCCCCAAAGTTGCTTGACCACTGCAACTTCTCTTATAAATCAAAACAAACCTACCAAGACAGCGGAGGTCTCTCTCTTGGCAGGTTTGTAGTTGGGCCATCCTCTCTTTATGTTACGGAGATGGACTAACAGAGCTGAGTAAGTTAATCATAGCTTAATATAAGGCTTTTGAATCCAATCTTGCTAAAAAATTCTAAACAATCTGTAATCTCTGCTCTTGATCTTGATTGTTGACCAATTTAACCTAATAAGATAACTTCCAAAGTCATGTTTAATGCAGACAAACCATCTTATTTAGGTAGTATCAGAGTAATAGGCACTGAATGTACAAAACACTTTTCAGAATTATGTTTCTAAAATCCAAAAATTAAACTGTAAATAGTTCTTGTCTTGATATGTAACATAAAATCCAACTGGAAGTCAATGAAACTTTACGATTTAATGAGATAAAATGTAAAAATTTCAACGGACATGAATAGCTTTTGACAATCCCTGTATCTAACGGACTGTCTTCTTTCCTCTCAAGATCTACACATATGAAATGAAGATTGTCAAAGTGGTGGCTGGAGATGCTGGAGGCTATAGGTGTGAGGTGACATCTAAAGACAAGTGTGACAGCTCCACCTTTGAGATCACTGTGGAGGGTGAGTGAAAATGGACCCTGGCCTGCTTTGAGCTGCTGCGGATTGTACATGCATTACAGTTTTGATCCCGTCCGACAATAATGTGCCTTGTCTGCAACTTCTCTTGTTACAGCTGCACATCAGGAGGACCAAGCAGATATTTTGTCTGCGTTCAAAAGAGCGTGAGTGCTTCAGGGATTTTAATTTAGTCTGTGTTTGCAGTCACAGTGTGGGAATATGTGGACTTGTATTCTATTTATAATGTTTTTAACTTGAGTGAGCATGGAATTGAGCTTTTTTGACTAGCTCTGAGTGTTATTTGATTAATGTTAACTTTGTGAACTTAGTTTTATATGCAGTTTGTTTCTACAAACGCAGTGATGCTGGAGAGGATGAGGGAGACCTGGATTTCAGTGCCCTACTGAAAGCTGCTAAAAAGTAAAACAAAAAGCTTAATTAAATTTGCAGTCTTCTCTAATAAATGCAATTAGTTTTTAAGTAAAATATTATTTTCCATTACTAACAGGAAGAAGAGGGCTGAGAAAACGGAGCCGGAGATTGATGTGTGGGAGTTGCTTAAAAGTGCCCATCCAAGCGAATACGAGAAAATCGCCTTTCAGTATGGCATCACTGACTTGAGAGGCATGCTGAAGCGTCTAAAAAAGATGAAAGAAGTGCAGAAGCCTAGTGAGGGTAAGTGAGGCAAGGCTGGAGGAGGGGCTGAGAGGGAAAGACCTGCAGAGGTGGTGTACAGCTAAAATGAAATAAGGGGCTACAGTGGAAACTAACATTCTTCTAAACTTATAAGTTCTCTTTTTATGTGATTTCCCAGCTTTCCTGAAGAGGCTTGAGTCTTGTTACTCCGTGGAAAAGGGCAAGAAAATCGTCATGTCGTGTGAGGTTCTTGATCCTAATGTCCAGGTCAAATGGTTGAAGAATGGCCAGGAGATCAAGCCATCAGCCAAGTACATATTGCAAAGCATTACATACTGTAGATCACACAAGTTCATTTTGATCTGTTCTCTATGTTAAAAATACATTTTAAATCTTTAACTGAAACTTTTCCTTCTCTGTTGCTCCTTGCACCATGGAGTCAAAATAATCCTTTTGAAATGGACTTAATGGGGAGTGCTTTAAAAATATCAAGCTCATATTACCTTGCAACAACTTTGCATTTGGAGATGCTTCCTTCGTCACTAGGTTTTATTTTTAGTCAGTAGAAAGGAGATCATATGTCCCCCAAGAAAACCAATTCACTCATGCATGTAAACAAAAAACCATTACTACAAATCCTTTCCAAAGTATTCAGCTTCATTGGTCAACACATTTTATGGTATTGTTTAGGATTTAATTTGAAGGACCAACACAGAAAACTAACTTATGAAGGGCAAAACTAATCACTTTTATTCCTCAAATGAAAAGATAAAAAGTATAGTGTGCATTTGTATTTAGCCTCTTGAGCCAGTGCTACTTTTCACTGCATAAGTGAATACCATCTACCAACTTTGCAAATTGAGAGTTGTTTGCAAAACATCTGCAGCTTAGCTAAATAGGATGACAACCATTCTGAGCATAATGTCCAAGTCTTAGCACAAATTCAAATCAGTCTGTGGCCCTGGCTGTAAATTCAGGGTTGTTGTCTACACCCCTATTCTTTATTACGTCAACTCTGATAGACTGTATAGATGAACATTCCTACAGTGGGGAGTGTGCTTTAAATGCACTGATAGAGTAGCAAAAATATTTTTTGGTGACCAAAGCAGTGTCTGTACTGCATACTGTATTTGCGGTCTCCTCCTTGGTTTGCAGAATATCATACCAATGGCCTTTTACTTCTTGCTATTCTGCAGTAGAAGCACAATATGTAGACTTCACAGCTAATGGTGTAATAATGTCCTGTCAGATTCTTTCACCTAAGCTGGATCTCTCTGGAGATCATCTGCAGCTACTAAATCTAAGAAGCTGCTCTGCCCAGTCCTGGTAGGTTTGCCGCCATCAGCTTATGTTAAATTTAATTCTAGAAACTAAACTAGTTACTTCTGGAACCAAATGGCTTCCCTGGATTTTATCTTGGAAATGCACACCATGCTTTTTTTTCTTTTTGGTACTAAATTTAAAAACTGTGTTATAGTTTCCCTCCACTTCGGAATTATGCCCAACTGTGTTGGACTTTCAGATCTCTTGATTCTTGTGGTTAAATTTTTAACAATTTAAAAGGTAAAAGGATATGAATCTTTACAAGGCATTTCCATTTTAATGCTTTCAAGCCAAAAAAAATTAAGACAGAAAAATAAATTCTTATGCATCTGATGGAAAGAAGCTTTTTTAAGAACAGTCTGTTTCAACACCTCATCTCTCATCTCACCAGGTATGTCATGGAGGCCGTTGGTAACGTCCGAACTCTCACCATCAATAAGTCAAATCTGTCTGATGATGCTGCATATGAGTGTGTGGTTGGAGACGACAAGTGTTCCACTGAGGTGTATGTCAAAGGTGCATAATCTACTTTTGTTTTAACATATTTAATCATTATTGATTAAATGATACCTAAGGAAAATCATAAACCTGATTCCATAATGGTATATCTAGAGCCCCCCATCACCATCACCAAGCTTATGGATGACTATCACGTAGTTGTGGGAGAAAGAGTGGAGTTTGAGATTGAAGTGTCTGAGGAGGGAGCTCATGTCATGTGGTCAGTAAACATCACTATTTTCATTTTAATGCAAAATCCAATGACAAAGCTTCTCACTTGCTAATGGCTGATTAACATATAAGAAACAAGATTTCACAAAGTTAAATAAAAATATATAATCATCAACATCCATTATTTTAACTTTGTTTTATAAACTTAAAGGTTCTTTGAGGACCAGGAGCTTATTAAAGACAAAGAGTCAACAAAATATCGATTCAAGAAGGATGGGAAAAAGCACACACTTATCATCCAGGAGGCCACTCTGGATGATGCTGGAATGTACCATGCCTGGACAAACGGAGGGCACACCAAAGGAGAGCTGGAAGTGGAAGGTACAGGAAAAATCTTATATTTCACTCACCCGCCTTTATTTCTGCTTAAAGTTAATGAAAACATTTCATTAAGGATAGAAATAATGTTTAACCAATAAAAAAAAACATTTTCATATAATATTTTGAGCTTAATTAACTGTTTTAAAGCTACTTAAATGTGTTCAGAAGTTACTTTTGACAGACTGATTAACTTCACAGGAATGTATATTCTAATTTATTACATATGACTTTAAATAGGTTATACCATTTAGTTCAGTAGATGAAGCTTAACGGAACCATTGGACTAAACTAACTGATGTTATGAGTCTGCAAAAGTAGTTATGCCCCTCTAACTTTTCTACATTTTTTGTATTACAACAAAAAGTGACACATTAGATCAGAGCAAGGTTTAAACTTATGGTCTACATGAATGATTGATATTTGTGGTGGAGGTGGTGGTAGCATCATATTGCAGGGATGCTTTTCTTCCACAAATTGATTATCTTTTTCAACCTGTCCTGTAACAAAATAAGTTTGTAAATGCCCAAAGCTGCTAGATATTTGCCTAACTGATATTCGTCTGCAATGGCAGAAAAGGGTGTCTAAGTTTTTGTGCTGGGTTTAGGGGGATTTTAGTTAGGGTGATCAATGTAAAATGATATGAATGCAAATGCAAACACTTTTTAGGTTTGAACAATTTATTTTCAGTTGTCACATTTGTGCTTCTTTTAATGATCTTTGAACTTACTCCACATGATAACTTAAACTGAAAATTGCTGTTAAAACATGATCAATTTTAAAAAGCTATTGAGGTACTGAGTAATTGCAAGGAACTGTATGGACTATCACCAAAGCCTTACTCAATCTTCCAAAAACTAAATGAGTCAGTTTTCAGCATGGCTGTTTTTTCAGGAGTTTTTCCCTTGCCTATTCAGAAAAGGAGCTTGAGGTCCTGCAGGACATTGCTGACCTGACAGTCAGAGCTACAGACCAGGCCATGTTCAAGTGTGAAGTGTCCGATGACAAGGTCACAGGGAAGTGGTTCAAAGATGGAGTGGAGGTGTTGCCAAGTGAGCGCATAAAGATGACTCACGTCGGAAGGTGAGAAAAACAGCGTGTGCACAAAGCATTATTGGATTGTTGTTAAAAGTTGCTGCTTTGTCTAACTTCTTGTTGCATAATCCTTGTTTTAGGTTTCACCGGCTGATTATTGAAGATGTGAAGCCAGAGGACGCAGGAGACTACACATTTGTTCCTGATGGATACGCTCTATCACTGTCTGCTAAACTAAACTTTCTGGGTGAGGAGGATGAAAATCTTTTCAAAGCTATTAAGTTTGTCTATCATATTACAAATATAAAACTCTTCAACTTCTTTTTTCTCTTTCAAAACAGAAATTAAGATTGACTATGTACCAAGGCAAGGTAGGAGTCTTGATTTCACCCAAACAGAACATAATCTCAGTTGTTTTGCTCAGTCGCTTTATTATATCAGTGCATCTTGTGTTTTTGTTTGTTTTGTTTTTAAACAGATCCACCTAAGATCCACCTGGACACAACAGGAAACATGGTGTCTCAGAATACCATTATTGTGGTGGCAGGCAACAAGCTTCGCCTGGATGTGGAGATCACAGGAGAGCCCGCACCCACTGTGGTTTGGTCCAAAGGAGAGGAGGTAAAGATCTCACAATAGTCACTGTACAGTAAGCCAGTAGTTCCCAATTTTTGTAGCATCCAATCCCAAATTAACACCGACATGTGACTCCAAGCATTGCTTTAGTAAAGAAGCATTAACAGCAAGTTAATTAAAAGGGATGTAATTGCTGTGCAAATTCTTGATAAAAAAAGAGGTTAAAGTCAAGTCATCTTATCCTAGCTTTAGAATAGAATAGAAATAGAATATAAAATCCCTTTTTTGTCCTACAATGGGAAAATTGTGGTGTTACAGCAGCAAAGGCCTTACAGCAAAAGTAGTCACACTAATGTAGACCTTAAAAAGTGTATTAAAAAATAGAATAGGTGACTGAGTTAAAAAAAAAATACTGTTCTGTACAGTTTGTTACAAAATAAATACTGTGCATCTGGAGAATAAATAATCAATATACAGCTGTGGACATTTTTACAGTAATGAATATGTGAATATAGCAGCAACACCAGAGATGTGCAAAAAGACATCAGCATGTTATATAAGTGACCAAGACAGAGAAAATAAGCATGAATGTAACAACTTATTGAGGTTGTTGGGAACAGTGATGGTTATAAAATCCTACAGCTGCTGGGAGGAAGGTTCTGTGATAATGCTCCCTGGTGCATTTAGGGTGCAGCAGTCATGTATAAACCATCTTTATATATTTTATTGAGGTAAATAAGAATTTAGACCTGTTAAACTGAATTAATAGGCAGTTGATGTTACTGGTTTCCATTAATTTGTGTATTTTAGGCAATCACAGCAACTGAAGGACGGGTAAGGGTGGAGTCCAGGAAAGACCTCAGTTGCTTTGTCATTGAGGGTGCTGAGAGAGCTGATGAGGGCAACTACAACATCTGTGTAACAAACCCTGCAGGGGAAGACAAGGCAATGATATTTGTTAAAATTGTGGGTAAGGGAACATTGTCATGCAGGACTTTCTGGTGTTCCATGAAAAAACCAACTACTGCTAAACAATGAATTGTTTTGTCATAAGAAAACTAACCTGTATGTTCCTTCAGATGTCCCTGATCCCCCAGAGAATGTAAAATGCACCGCAGTCGGTGAGGACTGTGCCACCATTGTTTGGGAGCCTCCTAAATTTGACGGTGGTGTACCAATCAAAGGTAATAAGCAGGTTTATAAACTCTACAGTACGTAAGTTTGTATTTGTTAAAGAGACATATTTTAAGCTAGATGCTTTTATTCCAACAGGTTATCTCATGGAAAGAAAGAAGAAAGGCTCCTCCAGATGGACAAAGCTCAACTTCGACGTCTACGAATCTACTACATACGAGGCCAAAAGGATGATTGAAGGAGTCCTGTATGAAATGAGAGTGTTTGCTGTCAACAGCATTGGCTTGTCTCAGCCAAGTCTCAACTCCAAACCCTTCATGCCCATTGGCAAGTTTCTCAACTGTGTTCACTTAATTTTTCTCAGCTTATACTTGTCACTCCCTTTGGGTCTCAGCCTTCTTTTAGCTATTCCAGCCACTTACCCTCTTGGGTCTTTCATTTTTTCACCTTTAGCCCCAACCAGCGAGCCGACACGTTTGACGGTCCATGATGTGACAGACAGTACATGCAGCTTGAGGTGGCTCGCCCCAGAAAAGATTGGAGCTGGTGGTCTGGATGGTTATGTTATTGAGTATTGCAAAGAGGGAGGTATGATAGACCTACATTTTGTCATGTTGGTAGCACTGAAAGCAAAAGCAAACAGAAAGAAATTAAAATGATTTACTATGTGATGCTCTTGTTTTTTTTCTGTTAGCCACTGAATGGGTAGCTGCAAACACAGATCTGTGTGAGAAGCAGGGATTTGTGGTGCGTGGCCTTCCAGTGGGAGAGAAGATCAATTTTAGGGTGGTGGCAGTAAACATTGCTGGTCGCAGTCCGCCTGCTACACTGTCACAACCTGTTACCATCCGTGAGGTTGTTGGTGAGTGAAACTGTTTTAGATGCTAACAGATAAAACAAAAGGCATGGATAAACATAATAATGCATGTCAGGGGTTTCAATTCAGAACATTTTAAAGCATAGTATCAATGGTGCGTGGTGTGCATACACTCATCACGATTGTCAAGGTTGTTTATTTGCATCTAATGTGGAGTGGGCCTAAGAGGATGGGCCTCCGTGGGCTGAAAATCAAGAGTGATCCGAATACTGGTTGTCCTTACCTGTCAGATTTGGCAAGGACACCTTGGTAGGTTTTAAAATTCACAAGGAGAAAAGTCTGATGGTCAGCTGAGACTGATTGATGACAAGAGGTGAGATAGGAGGGGTCTTTGATCATGGCCTTTAAATTTAAGAATATTCTAATAGTCTGATATGGTGGTTGAAGGATCACAATGGAGGTCTCCATAAGTTTCCCCACCTTAAATGAAAAAAAAAAATGTCATAACCTGAACACAGGTGTTCCTAAAACACAATCGACCCAGATATACAATACAAATAGTTGGAAATAGCTTAAATATAATGATATAAACTTTCTAGAATGGTCATGACCTGAACCCTGATGAAAATGTATAGTCTATGCATACATTTAGGTTGATGTTCAGAAATCAACCTGTTAAAATTTTGAATATAACCACTTATTTTACTTTTTTGCTTTTTAATTTTAAATATATTTTTTAAAGGAAAATCAAATGCTCAAAAGATTAACAAACCCAGTTTTTTTTTTTGATACACAGTATATCAAACGAATGGACTTACACTCATTTAAATTATAAAGGAAGGTACGCATCTTGATATTCCTTTTTAGAATCCTGCTGTAACAAAATTTCCAAAACTAACGGTGAATGAGCTCTATCGTAGTTTAACCAGATGCCTGTTTCTGCCTCAGAACATCCAAAGATCCGCCTTCCGCGTGAGCTGAGGACAAAATACATCCGAAAAGTTGGTGAAAAGATCAACCTGACCATCCCATTCCAGGTCAGAATGAGACTCTAATCAAACTATTCTGTGTTTATCTCCTCTCAATACAACAAATGAGCAATTATTGAAACTCCTCTAAAAAGCATGTGAAAAAATGGCTTTAAATAAATGGTTATTATGGAAATTTTGTTGGACATTGTTGTCAGTGCCTTACAATCCTTGTCAACTTTTGTGGTTGCAGGGTGAACTTGGCTTTTCAACCAACATTGTTAACCACATTTCTACTTGCTTTAATTTATATATAAAGTCGATATAAATAGAAAAGATTTCTGACATAATTTAAGATACTTTTCCCCCGTAAAAAAAACATAAACAAATTATATGAGTTTTTAAAAAAATTTTATTTGGTCACAGGGTAAACCCCATCCTGTGGCAGCTTGGTTCAAGGATGGCCAGCCAGTTGATCCCAAGATGGTCAACGTTCGTAACACGAATGTAGACAGCATCCTCTTCATACGCTCGGCAGAAAGAGAGCACTCTGGAACATACGAGCTGGTTCTGAAGATTGAGAATATGGAGGACAGAGCCTCCATCAACATCAGGATTATTGGTATAGTTGGCATTATTCTGGAGATGAAGTCTAGAAAGAATAACATATGAAATGTATGTTTTTATGCTTGTGATTATGCAAATGGGATTTAATAACATTGAAAGATGCTTAATTTATACAGAAAAGCCTGGGCCTCCATTGAATGTGAGGGTAACAGATGTCTGGGGGTTCAATGCTGCACTGGAGTGGGAGCCCCCCAAAGATGATGGCAACACTGAGATCACTGGATACACCATCCAGAAAGCCGACATGAAGACTAAGGTAGGAAAGAAAAATATTAACCTACTTTTACACTATGTCAAAAAAAAAAAAAATTAAATATCAAATTAAACAAATATCAGCATTCTTTTTCTTCCTTGCTAACATGTTATATTCTTCCCCTAATAGGAATGGTTCACCGTTTATGAACATAACAGACGGACAAACTGCACAGTCTCCGATCTGATTATGGGTAATGAGTACATGTTCCGAGTCTACAGTGAAAACCTCTGCGGCCTGAGCGAGGAGCCGCGGTTTAGCAAGAACACGGCTGTCATTCCTAAGACAGGTGGGACTGCATCTTTGTGTAGATTATACAATATTAGACTGCCCAGATGATGTGTGAGCTGAATGCTTACAATTTTAGTCTTTCTGATCCATAAAATATGGTTCTGTAAAGAACCACAAGAATAAAAATTAATTTTTTCAACACAGGCCTTGAGCTCAAACAACCTTCCTATAAGGAGAAAGACATGGCTTGTGCACCGAAATTTACCCAGCCCCTAGTGGACAGATCTGTTGTAGCGGGATACAGCACTGCAATCAGCTGTGCTGTGAGAGGCTTTCCCAAGGTAAACCTATTTAAACGGTCTCTGTCTGTGATTTCTCTTGTGAAAATCTTTCTGCATATTGTCACATTAAAACTACAAACAACTTTTTTTTTTTTTTCATAATGTATAATTGAGAAGTCTCATAGTGAAAATACTCTTTGGTAAAAACAAATAGCCACCATAATAGCCATCAAATGACTTCTAATTAATAATTAGCAATTGATTACTGTGATTTAATCTTGGTAGAGCACTGTAGGAGAATCTTAGGTAGACTGAACAAAACATTAGAATATGTACATTATAGTATTTCAGTATGGGAAGAAAAAGTATGCATAATTTCAGAGTATACCAAGCCTATTTGTAAATAACAATGATTAATCATAAAAAATCACAGCTGTTCTGAGAAGATGTCAGAGTTATAATGATACAACATGGTGAAAGCATCATGATGGTTTTCTAAGCAGGTAAAGGAATCAAAAGGAATAGTAATGTGTTAAAAGGCCCAGTCAAAGCCCAGACCCCATGGTAACTGGCAAGAGCTTCATATGAAAGTTCACACTATCCTTCTGATTCAGTTTCACTGAGCTTCAGGCATTCTAAAAGGATGACTCAAGAAACATATCACTCTCAGGTGTGCAAAGCTAGCAATCTTTAATAAAGCTTCATCTGTACTTTCAATAGACAGCTTTTGTCTATTTACGTGGGCAACTAAATACAAGTGCACTTCACATTTTCCAGATTATGAATTTGAAAAAATTCAAAAGTTACAATCCATTCCCTCTATTGACCTAACAATTAGTCACTACAGTGCATTTCATAATCAAATACAGTCCTAATGAAATACGTTGATGTTTGTGGTTGCAATGTAAATAACGCTTTACATGTCATAACCCAATGCATTGCATCTTTGAATTTACTGCATCTTCAAATTGAATTCACTTTTGTTCCTCTTAGCCTAAGATTGTGTGGATGAAGAACAGAATGATCATTGGGGAGGATCCCAAGTTTCTGATGCAAAACAACCAAGGAGTGCTGACACTCAACATCCGCAAGCCAGGCACTTTCGACGCAGGCAAATACTCCTGCATGGCGGTCAATGACCTGGGTCAGGATGAAGTGGAGTGCAAGTTGGATGTCAGAGGTAAGAGCAAAAAAAAAAAAAAAGAAAGTGGGCCTTTTCATCGGAAGATGGAAATATTTTTTATTGTCAGGCAAGGGTTGGGCTTTATTATCCTAGATACACTTCAAAGAAATCTTCACAGAAAGAGCTTAAAAATATAATTTAAATCTTATTTTACATGATTGCAGATGTTAGAATACAAGTATTAGTACAGAACTGTCTCTCTATTGATGCCACACAAAAGTAGTTTCTGTCAGAAGAAAAATACATCAGTCACAACCGATCACCACTTTTAATTTAAAAATGACATGCTTTCATTGCTTTTATAAAACATAATATCAGCATCATGGCATCTAAAGCAGCCTTTACCAAACAGATGAAAAATATGGCATGACAAATGGTAGATAACATGCCATTGTATTTTTAGCCACCAATGTAACCAGGCTTTCAGTGAAAGAGAAACCAATTGCAAACTCAAAGGTCTTATAATAATACATTTATTGCAAGCTTTTTAAAGGTTTACTCTACATTCTTAGCTACTTTTGATAATTTAACAAACCATAGTTAAAACACAACCAAGCACAATTTCACACATAAATGACTCTGGGTTTTTAAGTGATTCCTCCTTACTGTTTTCAAATTGTTCCAAGATTATATAATTTTGACATTAGTAGAAGTTTTTCAGTTCTGTTATGTCTTTTATTTTGAAATCAAATTAATAGTTGACACAAAACTATTGCATAATTTACCTGGCGTTTGCATAATTGTTTTACTGTGTTCACAGAGAAACATGACCTAAAAATCCAAGCTACATACAGAAGTGTCAATTAAATGTTATGTCACACTTCTAATATAAAACATAAATGAATAAAAACAAATAAATAAATATAGTTTAATTTAGTTCTAATTAACATAAAAAAGATATTTTTCCAACATAAGGTAAAACATTTTTATGAGTCTTGCCTAGATAATTTACTGTACATTATAACATTTACATTTGATTCTAATCTCTCTTTCCGCTCCACAGTTGCCATAGATCCAGACAAAAAATGAAGAGCCAAAGAACAGAGAACGTCAAATGATGTCAACCAAACTGCAAACGAAGAGTGGATGATACAAGTTATCCCGAGAGATTAAAATAAAGTTTTTCGATGATCTGCAGCACAGGTGTTTCATCTACCATCACATTTTATTTCTGTTAAAATTTCTCTGATATATTGTGCAGTCACACTTAGATTCAGAAACAAGATTGAGAGAATGAGAGAAAAACAAGGTCTTAAAATTGCAGTTTGACAAATTCAAAGTTATCAGAGCAGAAATCACAGTTTGAGAGCATTCTTTTATTTTGGCCATATATTTGGTGGTTCTGTTTCCTACACATCCCTGGAGTAGGATGGTCTCCGCCTGTGGACTGCCACCCCTATAGTGAACAACAGCGCCACGGCCAGGAGACCCACTGCTACTGCAAGAGATGTAATGATGCCTACAAGAGACAAAAGTTTATATTAGCTGCTGGATATTTCTTTAAATACTACTTTGTAAAAGAAGAAGAAAAAAAACTATATAGAACTACAGTTTTTGCCACACTATTAAAAATCCAGAGTTTTGTCACATTAAACAGCAATTTCAGTGCATTTTCCTGGGGATTGTATAACATATACCAAAAGAAAAAAAGCATAATTGAAAGTGAAAATAAAGTGGTCCATGAACCATGTTTCACTATAATTACAACTGATAATATATGGGGTCATGTCTTTAACAGCCTTCCTTACAGAAAGAAAGATTTATCTCTCCTTTACAAAACAACTGAAGCACAGATTTGATGGCGTTAATCACATTTAGTCATGCCATATATTTTTATTTGGCTTTATATCCAAAATTTTGAGTGGGTCATTCTGATGTATTATTGCTTAAATCATTGTAGTGTAGCGCTGGCTGTATGTATGTTGCTTGTATAGCTGGAAGATAAAACCGTGCCCTAGTCTCCTCATATGTTTCAGCCACTGAGTGGATTTTTAAATTCAAAAATTGTCCCCAATTCAGCTCAGTTTTTATATTAAATCAGTTTCCCTTTTACTTCTCCTCAACATGAAGTTGCTACTACTATGTTTGGTGATGTCCTTTGACAAATCAATGAGACAAAAAACATTTCCATTTGTACTAGGATTAAATCACACTCACAAGTTGTCTCCATCTATTGATCAGGTGACTTCTTAGGACAAAATGATAGATGATTACAGTCCACTTCACACATATACACTTGTTTGTATTTCTTTAAAGCAGGGGTTGACAACCAAAACTGCTCAAAGAGCCATATTGGACAAAAAACAAAACAAAAAACAAATCTGTCTGTAGCAGCAAAAATATAAAAGTCTTATAGAAGCCTTGTATGGCAACACAGGCTCTAAATGTATTATCCCACTATAAAAAAGGACTACGTGGGATTAAATACATAATAAGCATTCATGATTAAATGTTTATCTTGGAGCAAATGTCTCATAGTAGCATTGGGTGAAGGAGGAGCAGTGAATGCTCTAATTCCACTCGGAATTAAAAGTTTAAAGGTATAATGGAGGATTTTTGCAAATTTTTTACAAGACCCGCCCTCCCCACTATAAAATAAAATGCACATGCACAACCCTGTACCAGCTCCTGCATGTGAGAGCATGCACAAGCTCATTTCTCCTCGTGCACGCTCTGTTTAGAAGTTGCTATTTGCATTGCTCCTACAGGCTTACTTTCCAAAAGAAGATTTGCATTTTTTCCACTATGTGAGACTCACCACCGGTAAGTAAAAATGGGGTTGGACATGCAGGACGGAATTATGTAGACAAATCACCAGAATGATTGACAATTAGAAGGACCACTTATTTTGATGATCCCCCCAGAAAATCAACATCCTCCACTGTACCTTTATGCAATATGTGGTTTTAATGTGACAAAATCTGATGTGTAAAATATTGACTTAAGCTGGCTTTCCCAGTGAAAGCAAATTATTCTCATGGAAGAAACCTCTCCCCACCTGTGCTTGACCACCTTCTCCTCATGCCACATTCGACCTCCCATTCGTCCGGCATCACGTCCCGCACCAGTTCGGTGAAGGTGGACAAAGGGCAGGGGTTCAATCCATTGCATCCCGGCACGGGGTTGGGGTAGGGGTCGGATGAGGATTCATTACGGTAATGTAGCTCCACTGAATAGGATCTGGGTAATTATTATCATGAACATGAAATGACACACACTTATGGGAAGTGTTTTGGAAATGGGCTTTGCGTTCTGTGCTAATTTGGCCAAAGCGGTGCTGGACAGACGCCCAGCCTCCATTGGATAGAAGAGAAACATATTTATATATATTTAAGTCCATTTAGCTGAAAAGACGACTGCCATAACTCAAATTATGTGAGAGTGTGGGTGTGTGTCTGTGTGTGTTGGGTCTCTCTATGTGTGTACATCTGACCCAGATAGCATACTTGAATATGCAAATGGAAGAGTGCATGAAATACAGACTGGAAGGAAGTCATTACCCATCATACTCCTGGTAGAACTCAAAGAGTTGACAGGCAGCGTAGGGAGGAAGGAGCCCGTTGTAGATGTCCAGAGCTGCCTGGAGGGTGATGAGTGTGGAGTCATGCTAGGATAAGTACAAGCAATAAGGATGTGAAACAGCCGTTTGTTACACAGATAGTGAGTTCAAGTAAGACAATGAACTTACAGCTGAGTACATGATGAATTTGAGCTTGTTGCCTTGCTCCAAAGCACTGGAGAAATTCCTCAGGATGGCGTTTAGCAACACCCCTGGTAGATGAATACAGAGTTAACAGCGCAGATTAATTTTCTGCAGACGCAAACACAATTCTTTTGACCCTATTGAGCAGCTTCTCTTGGCATTGTCATCTTTGTCCCATTAGCTCATGCGTGCAAATATTCCTCAAGGAGATCCAAAGCTGCACTTCACATAGTTGGAGGCAAAAACAAAGCCTCGGCCAGCAGCCACATAAGATACGCAGCGACAATCTTTCCCCTATCATATTTTCCTCCTAGCAGTGCTGCAAATAAATATCTGTTAATGTGAATTCCCACCTCCTGAGAGCCTGGCCTTCTCTTTCCGCCTGTGACTGAGAATGCTGTACGTGACCTCAAAGGATGCTATCCTCTTCAGGGTATCCAGGACGTCATTGGTGGCCCAACGAGGGAGAGTCAAGTTATGGATCCTCTGTGTATGAAGAATTTAGTCATTACCTTGTTTTAATTACATTACACTAACACACAGACAAAGAAAAGAGAAAGTGATTTGTGCATGATATTATTTCTGTTATCCCATCTATTTTTAGATTAGAGTAGGGAGATAACAGATGCTTGTTTTGAAAGTGTGATTATTAATCTGGCTCTGAAAGCACCCATGTCACAATAATTTAATTAATATTTTTCTATTTCGTTTCCTGAGTCTGACTGTAAGTATGAACCAAATTTTTACCACTCTCTCTCTTCGATTTACAGCTAGGAGGTTATTCTTGACTTTTATCTATCACTGGTATAGCTAGTAATACAAACTGAATTACTTTAGATCAATCTTTTCATGATGCTAGCACAACCTTCAATGTGTTATTGAAGATTCTCTTCACACTGACAGATCATTTTGTGGTAAGCTGAAAAGGACACAAGGCTTGTAACTATTTTTTATATTTTCAGCTGTTTCCATCTTCCCACAGCTTGACTGTTTTACTACAACTATATGATTTTTAATTCAATCTATTTATATATCAGTTTATTTATATAGAGCCAATTCACAACACATGTCATCTCAATTCAACAAGATCATACAGTCAAACTGATTCAAAGTTTTCAAAGGAAAAACAGATGATTTTATCGACTCATTGGCTCCAAGGCAATCCCTCACGCTAAGCATGCTTGTAGTGACAGTGGAGAGGAAAAACTCCCTTTTAACAGGGAGAACCAGAGTCAGCAGAACCAGACTCAGTGGGAGCAGCCATCTGCCGAGGCCGACTGGGGTTCAAGGAGATGGACAGAAGCAGAAAGAGAAAAATAAGCAGAGATACAAAAGGCAACTGTTAACCAGCTTCACAGGCGGCCCCGTCCAAGAAACACACATCCAGGCAGACCAGCTCTGAGCCAGCTCCCATGTCAGAGGATGAGAGAGTGCATCTAGTCAGTCACAGTCAGAGAAAATGGACTACACTGAAAAACAGGCTGATTTCCAACATCTTTAAACAAAGGTGTTGATGGCAGCAGCACAGCTGATATTTCTCTCCAGGATGGTGTCACAGCCAAACAGGAACACCTGATGAAGTTGCTATGAAAAATGTTTTAATTAACCATTAATGTCGCCACAGGCTTTCTATTTCTAAAAAAAAAAGGACTTAAATTCCTCTTAAAGATCTCCTGACTGGTTAAATAAAATTTAGAAACTCCCTCATGACTTCTATATACAACTTGCATAAAATTCCCATAAAATATACCTACTGTTAGTTTGTGTGGGACAAAATGTGTTGTAGCTTAAAAATAGTTTCAGTGGAATTTAAAGTTACAATGATAAACAGTTTTGTACAGTTTGCTGGGAAACAAACCTGACAGGTGAGGGTGTCGTAAACCCTCCAGATTTTTTTCCCAACCAGTCTGGGTACGGGGTAGCCAGTGTGGTTGGAAAGCCGTTCCACAAAGTTCTGTAAAACAAAAACGAAAGAGTCAGACTAACAGCTGCTATTGTCTTCTTTTTTTTTTCTTGTGAAATCTGACCCTAAGAAAGCAAACCCAACTATTCTTTACAAATTGACCATTTGTACCATCTACCTGGTACAGTAAGAAAAGCTAGTTGTGTCTTCTAATGGTCTCACTTAGATAAAGAAAAATGGTAAAAATTTTCTAAGATTCACCCAGGAAAAGCGCTGCTACACTGGTGTTTAAATCCTCAGGGAATTAAAAAAGAAGTGCTTGCTTTAAAATGGACCCCTTTAATCACCATGGAAAATTGCAGCTAAAAACCTGAGTAAGCCTAATATCTTTTGTAGAAAAATATGATGATCAAAAGGTAGAAGATGAAGCTGTAATACAACAGAGACAATTTTTTTTATGACTGAGGTTTTAAAGGTCTAAACTACAAAAAGTATACAAACTCCCAAAACTGTTAGTACCTAAACTTCTCCAATCTACAGCCAAGTTCTTGAAATTATCTTGAACTTATCTCAGATTAAACTGACGGCCCCTTTGAAGAGATAAAGATAAAAAGTTGGGCTTGTACCAGGAAATTGAAAGGAGAAACAGTGACAGATATCAAGCCAGAATCCCACTAGAGCTTGTTGATGGTTGCTAACTTGCTGAGAGACACTTGTCTACATTTTAGCAGAGATGGGAAGTAACGAAGTACAAATACTCCGTTACTGTACTCAAGTAGATTTTTCTGATATTTTTACTTTACTTTACTACTTATTTTTATGGCGACTTTTTACTTCTACTCCTTACATTTTTACACAAATATCTGTACTTTCTACTCCTTACATTTTTAAAAATTGGCTCGTTACTTTAGTTTTGAATCATTTCAATGGAGTTACCGTTATTATTTTTCACGTCATAAATACCAAATTCAATCTAATTGGATGGGAATCTACGTTGCATTTGACGCACCACTACAAGATGAATCGACAGATTCGGCGGTATTCATTCGCGGCAAATCATTGCAGCTTGGTGGCGGTGGCGTTAGCATAGTAGTATGGACGACGAGATGATTGAAAATGAACACAACGGAGATCTAGTCCTATTGGCAGACATCCATTTACAATGTAGGCAACGGCATGAAAAAAGTGGTTTCTAGTTTCACTTTTGTACTTTAAGTAAATTTACAAGCCTGTACTTTGTTACTTTTACTTGAGTAAAGAAATTTAATCAGTACTTCCACTTTTACCAGAGTATTTTTTAACACAAGTATCTGTACTTTTACTCAAGTACGAAAAGTGAGTACTTTTGCCATCTCTGCATTTTAGTGGTTGTTAATGAGCAAATCATAGAAAATCAACTTTCAATGTGCGTAAGGAAATAAGTATGGATTAAGTTTTCATTTTTATAATATTGATGAATGAAGTATTAAAAAATATATTCATTCACATAATATATGAGATTTACCCTATGAAAAGGGTATCTAATTTTTTCATCTTGTGTAAACTTCATTTTAACTATATGTTTCCATTAACGTTTAGATGACCTATATTTTCGCACTGAATCATCTTATGAAAAGTTATTGTAAAAGCTTTTCCCTTTAGAACTTGTCTCCAACCACTTTGTGCATATACCTTGCAGGTACAGCAGAGGGTGTTGAAATTTAACATGAGCGGCTCTGGCCCGATCTCCAACACCTCCTTAGTAAGCAGCGCATGGGACTCTGTTTAATTAAAACTGTTTTATTGTAATTCCTTATCTAATTTAATCCAACCGTTAATTAGTGTCTCCAAGAATGTGAGAGAAATTGCACTGTGCAGCTTTTTGGAGGCACTGGAGTCACCGTGCCTGAGAAAATCAGTGAGAGGACATGATGTCTGGTGCATAACTAACACATCCACTGGAAGTGCTGATTGTGTTGGCAGAAGCTACTGTGAACTATGTATTTCACCAGAATGCAGGTTGCGCTGTGTTTGCTAGTTTTCACATCATATAGTACTGAAGCAGCCAAATTTAGAAGAATGGCATTTAACAGTAAATACAATAGGATTATGCAAATTTGTTATGGAATACATAAGCAGCAAAGTTTCCCAAGTTCACACCAAAATGGCTCAATATAAGTGGTAATAAACACAAGAGCAAAAGCTGGTACATTAGAGGGTGACAGTAGATACTTTCTATATACAGTATGTATCTGTCCCTGATGCCAATGAGGTAAATACCTACATTTCTTTTTTAAAGGCCAAAATTCAAAAGATGTAGACAGACAGACAGACAGACAGACAGACAGATTTTGCTGTTGTTCATTGAATACCTCAGGTAATATTATTTTGTGACAAGAAATTGAAGAAATAAGGGCAACCTCCTTATCTATATATAATCCATCATTAGACAGACAGATGGATGGATATTCATTTGAAGTAGAATGTTTTCTAATACATCCGGTCTAGCCTACCTGGTGAGTACGGAGGAACCTCTGATAGGGAGCGCTCTCAAAGGTCTCCGTCATCAAAGCTCTGAACCGAGGGCAGTCTTTGCCTGGAGACTTCAACAGCTTCAATAAAGAATGCAGGCATAAAAAGTCAGAGGAAAACCAGTGCATAAGCTTTGTAAGTCTCAGAGGCCGAACTACTTCCTTGCTTTACATTTTTATTACAACAAGGCATTTAAGTGTGTGAGGTTCACAGATGAGGTGAAACACTGACAGCGGGGTAAAGCCAGGGACCCAACAAAATGTATGCAGAATCTGTGTACAGCTGTGCAAGCCTTCTGGATAAAAAGGAAATATTTATTTGGCTCAGCAGCCCACCTTATCCTGCGCCCTGGGAACGGTGTGCACTGGAATTGGCCGCCACAGTAACTGGGGCATGATGGGAGGCGGGCGTCTGGTGGGGGGGAACATCCCAGCAAGGCAGGCCTGGGCGCTCATCAGAGTGCGGTCGTAGTCAGTGCTCCGGACGTACAACTGGTGCAAATATTGAGGAAACATGGCATTAAATATGCTGGTACCTGAAACTCTCTGGTTGAAAATAGTCAAAAAAAAATTGTTTTTTGTTTTTTTATTGATAAACTACAACTAGATATTTAAAATAAAAATAGTAGTTTGTCAATGTCTTTCCATAATTTCCCATATGAAAATCAAAATGAATGTACCATTTTTGCCCTGATTTATGCAGGTCAGCTAAGCAGACATAAAGAGAGGGAAATGTGATTCAAATAACTGTGAGAAGGAAAAAGGTGGGAGATCAGGCTCACTGTGATCTCCTCTGACACAAGCCTTTGCTCATCTCTATCCCTCTGTCACTCTTTGTCAGGTTTTTGTACACAGTAAATCCCACAGATAAGCCCGGATGCTCCTGTGACACATAGAATCCTTTTTTTCCCTCCATTTTGTGAAATTAAAGCAGACGTGGCTGAACGGGGGGGGGGGGGGGGGGGGGGTATGGGTACAAGCTGACAAAGACTATGAGGCATATTACCAAGACAGACAGTGAGAAGTGTTATTTTCAGATTAATTACATTATATTCTGAAGAAGGAGAAGAAACATGGGAGAAAGGAAAGGGTTAGAAAACAATAAGAGAGATAAAATAAAACAAGGGGAGGAGGTGGCAGAGAATCCAGAAAACCATGTCCTCATGAAGACAGTTTTCTGAGCCTACAGTGATGAACTCCGCAGGCATCCAAATGTATACTGTATAAACTAAAGAGCCCAGAGGCTGCCCTACATGCCAGCTTTCAGCATATGACAAAGCCACGGCAGTGATATGACCACAATGTGTCGCCCTCATTAAATTACTGCAGCCGTTGTGGATGGTGATGACACGTAAAACTTGTCGCATGTGGCAGCAAGAGTTCACATGACAACATGGATTTAGAGATACGAGGGAATTCAGATGATACAGTAAGGCAGACGAAATGGACCAAGCAGGCTTGAAATGCATCTGAAGAATCACACACACCTCTTTGTTGTTGTAGTCCTCACCGAGAAGGTTTCCATAGCGCCTGCGTAGATATCTCCCCAGTTCAAACTGCTGTTTCATGCCCAGCTGAAAGTAGTAATAAACAACACAGATTATTTTCTTGAATAACATTAGGGTTTGGTGAAAAAAATTTTCACTCTCTGTTATTCTACTAGGTATTTTACATTTTATTTTAAGTTGCTTTAAAGAGAAGCGTTCTTTAAGTTCTTTAACCTTTTTGCTACTTTGTCACATTAAGATATGAAACATTATACAAACTGTTTAAAAATAGAAAAAAATCTTAAAATACATACAAGTGGTTTGACCTGCATATGTTCAATCATTTGTCTATTTGTACAGAACTGCTCAGTTTAACTTTATTAACTAATTATAAATTGAACCATCGCTAAAAGGTATAACATGAGCAATTCTAAAAGGGGAAATAAAATGTCCAAATGATGTCACAGGTTTCTGTTACTTAAAATTAACATTTAAAATAGATTTGTATTTGATTATTTTGAAGTTGCCTCCTCTTGTTGGTTGTAAAGTCCATCCTAGTTATCCAATGAATTGCATTTACATAACCTTAGGTGTGAGCCAAATTCTTGAATTAAAATGGTTTTAAAATTTACAGTTTGAAAAAGTGGTAAAACAAAATCTGACCCATTGTCACACATTATGCCTTTGAGTGTTGAAGTTAAACTGTTGACTGAGGTATTACTAGTTTAAGATAGTGGTCCAATTGTTTAACAAATTTTACTATGTGCTCATCTTTTTATATTTATTTGCATTTATTCTGTTTTGATTTTTCTTCTATATTATCGTTTAATTCATGATAAACACCTTGAATTGTTCTTGTACTGAATTGTGCTTTACAGATAAACATTCCTTGCCTTGCCTACCAAAAAATCATTTCGGTAGTATAAAGTGTTTTGGTTTTTCTACAACTGTAGGAATCATCAAGTACAGCAATTCCGACCTTCTCATAGCTGTTGCTGCACACTGCCATGTCAGGTTTTTTTTTTCCACTCACAAAAAAGACAAATTCATGTCAGAAATACATTTCAGATTAAATAATACTACTTATACTTCAGCAATAGTTTCTAGGTGTTACTTTATTGTATGTCTCCTACCATGTCCATTGGTTGTGCTGTTCTTTTAGCATCTCTTTGCAGGTGATGAAGCAGACTGAAAATGTTTTATCATTATCTCCCTTTTATCTCCTCTTTCTTTCATCTTTTCTCCCTTTTTTTCTGTTTTTCCTTTCCTGTTCTACCTACATTGCAGTGTCCATATAATCTGTAAAACTCCCTGCATAATTATAATAAAGCAATTTATATGCATAAAACAAGCAGAACACTATGGCAATAGCTGTACTGCTACACTTGTAAAAGTAAAATCTGCTGGGCTCTTTTTGACATCAAGTCAATTATTCTTATTGCCACATCGTTAGACAGGACACTGTAAAAAAAAAAAAAAAAAAGACAAATTTATCTGCTTGTAATTATGTCCTGTTAGGAAAAACCTTTAAAAAAAAGTGTTAATAATAAAAATTAAAGGAGTACCAAACAGTATTAACAAGGTAGTGGTATTTAAAACTAGTGTTGCACTGATACCGATACCAGTATCGGACGGGGTCCCGATCCAGCAACAAAATGTTGGTATCGGTATGGATGAGTACCAACAAATAGGGCACTGATACCATTTTGAGAGCCAAAAGTTTAATTAACTATTGTCACCCATTCCAGGTAGGCAAGGTGCTGCTTCACAAAGGTAGGCAGCAGCTTAACAAAGCCATGATGGCAATTATTTTACAACCAAGTAGCATGTAGTTCTACATATATACACACACCTCTATTTCAAACTAGTGGTATCGGGGCCAAAAAAATGGCATCGGCGCAACACTATTTAAAACTACAGTGAGCAATCTTTCTACTTAAGGAGATCTGGAATAGATTAGAATAGAATAGAATAGAATAGAATAGAATAGAATAGAATAGAATAGAATAGAATAGAATAGAATAGAATAGAATATCTTCGCCACAATATTTAAACTTACTTAAGGTTATTATCCTGTCAGTATGGCCTACAGGGCCACACCTGTTCTGTAGTTTGTTGTGGTGGGTCTTTTTTTGTTTATCTTTTTCATGTTAGCATTCTTATCCCTCATGTTCTTAAAACTTTCTTTTTCTTTGAAAAATGCTTGATAGAATAGTGACACAGAGACTCAAAGAAACAGCATGTACCTCAGTAAGCTGGCCAAAGCCCTGAGCCCACACTTCCTCCCCATGTGGATCCCTGGGGTATGACTCAATAGGCGATCGATCGCCATGTCGAAACACCTGAAAAGTCAGAACAGATTATATTGCATGAATTCAGACAGGCTGCCCCTGTGCTCAATTTGACCTCTTCTTAGGGAGCAATTCTCCCTGAGACAAGAGTCATAAATAGAAACTCGTAACTGTAAACAGATCAGTCTCGATTTAAGGTGCACATAGATAAGTCATTTTGATGATGTATGATCAAGAGCTACTCCATTAGTGTTATTAACCTTTAGACTCATCTTTCTGAGGAGGGACTTGACCCACACACTTACATTTTAGTGGATTGTGAAAACATCTGATGCACTACTGTTCACAACACACATATGCTTGATTTGAAAAGAAGGTGACAGCAAACCCCAACTATAAAGACTGACAAGAAAGTAACTGATTCGCACCTGCAGGATTAACATAAATTCACACATTTAAGAGCAGAAAATGTATTTTCAACCTTCTGACTGAATGTAACAAGTAATATCCAACACTCCATACTAAAGACAGTAATTATATGCAATGACAATATCATAATCCCAAAGATTCAAGAGTATAATCTATAAGTTAACGCATGATTTGATATGAAACTTTTCATTAATATTTAAAGCTTTGCCTCCATATTGTCCTCTATCTCTCACAGTGGATTTCTGCAGGCTGCTATCACCTGCCGCCCTTTTGCTTCTCTCAGCTTACCTTCTTGTACTTGCAAGGATGTCCTACATGACTTTGCTTTTACCGGCGAAGTGGGATGTAGGTATTTTATTTACCGGACATGCTTTTCATATCTATGTGCTTGTTTCTCAGTTGGTTTCTTGCAGCGCAACACAACACAACCTCACTTAGAGTCAGCAACACTGATCCCTCAGATTACATTTCTGTGCAGTGACTGCCTCTTGAATAATGCTTTTTGATATTTTTGTTTTAGGATATATTTTACGTTTTAACTTTGCTTTACTTATTTATGAAAACTCTTTCATTTTCAAAAAAGTCAAAATGTCACAATAGTCTGATAAATAGATTTGTTATATATTTGAATGGCAGGTTTGTTTTTAAATTCCCAACTCAGAACTTTGCTTCAACATTTTACCATTAGTTTTAGAACCTATTACATGAATAGACATTCAGCCATATAGAAATAAAAAAAAAAGCCATCTAAAAAATATTTGCTCTTTAGACAACTCTAACTTCCGGTTAAAATAAAAAAACTCAGTTGTTTTTCTTTTCTTTTTTTGCTATAAAGGTACCAAAATTAGCAAACATTCTGCATTTTTTTGGCCTACAAAAACTTAAATTAAAGAGGTTAAATGTCTAAATCACAGGCCAGTATTAGCATATTTTAAATCTTTTGATAATATGATTCAACCAACATTCCAACAGTTTCATGGTTCATATTTTGTGCTAAAATGTTCAGAAAGATCTAATCACTACAGGTGAAAGCTACACCCTGGTCTGTAATTTAGGAAATGAACTCTGGACTGTTTAGACGTCACCTTATGGCTTTTGTAAGGATCTAAGAAAGACCAAACTTTTTATTATACATATTCAGTATTAAACCAAAATAACAATTCATATTATTCTCTAGATGATGAAAATTAGATAGCATTTCAACACTCAATAAATCATATTTTGAAGATTATCTATTTTTTCTTTTATGACATTTAGGTGAGATAATTTCAAAGACATTTTACCTGGAAAAAGACCTTAGTTATTGTTTTCTATAAATAGATTATATTCTATACTTTTTTATGGTGGTAAATAAGGATTAGGAGTAAACAAGTGCTTTTGTGTAGAACACATTTACAGTTTCTTATGAATGTGTTGAAATCTCTTCAACTATTATTGTCATATTAGGTTAATAACTTGATTTATCTTATTTAGATTTTATACACAGTAACTGACCAACAAAAATTAGATCATAGCTTTCAACTGAAAGGAAAGCACTAGTAGTAGAAAGTTTAAGAAATAATATATGAAAAGTGTTGCCCTTCTTCAAATAAATTACTCCTACATCATTAAGGTCACATATCTTATAAAGTGGATCTCCCTGTGTGTTTTTCTGCCTCAGTATAAATTAAGCTCTTTGAAAAGAAATCTCTACAATCATGCGATCGAAATGAAAGACATTTAGTTTTCCTATGAGATGCAATTGTTTCTTTCAATACAAAAAACTAGAAACCCTGCTAACAAATGATGGTAAGTTATATTCTACAGCAGTACAGTAATTTCAAACCAGGGGTACACGTAACCCTAGTGGTCCGAGAATGCATTGCAAAGGGTACAGGAAAATATTTCATTTATTTGGTTGTAAAATTAAATAGGACTGGGATCTGTTTTGCTTTCTGAGGACCCAATTGAAAAATTAAAAAAGCTTTTATCAACTAAAAAGTATGTTTTTCTTATATGTTTGAGTTCAACTAAATAATACAAGGGAACAGGCTGGATGTAGAGAAAAGATTGGGATCAGCTGAGCTATCAGAGATCATCAAAGCAGCTCAGGTGCTTTGATAAAAACAAACAAACTAATTAAGGTAGTCTCACTATAAATTTTGTCCTGTATTTTGATCCAAAATCATCAAGTTAAAATGTGATTATAAGGGAGGTCCTGTTTTAAAAATACAGATTTTTAATATGGTTTTATTTTGTATTTATTCCAGGCAATGTATTTATGGTTATGTTTATTTGAGATGGAACGAATAAAATGCCCAAAAATTAAACTCTCTACTTAAATGTTTAAGTAAAACAGCCTTTATTTTATAATCAGTTATTGTGCATATTGTCCGTCCTACAAGTTCACATGGAGTAATAACAGCTTTTTTCTTGTTTTGTTTTTTTTATTGGGGATTCTTAAACTAAGAAGGGCAACATGTGGGCTGAATATTAAAGCTCACAAATCATTTTTAAAAGAACATTTAAGGCGTATTTTGCCTTTTTTTCCATCTTTACTGCTCAAAAAGGATACAAGTATGTTTCTGTTTGTTGTATCTCCTTAAGTGATTCAACTATGTGCTGAAGTGTTACATAAAGAGGTTTATGAACAAAGCTGCTGTGTCTGGGAGAGATATGCTCGCCGCTGTCTGAGGCTAGGCTCAAAGTAATCCTTTGTGATAAAAGTGTAAATAAAATAATACTCACTGGGCAGAAAATGGCAGCTTAATCAGCAACAATGCAAATCAAAGCAGGCTGTCAGATTATGTTCAATTCGTGGCATACAACAAACAAATGCTATCAGTAGCATCATGCAAACATCTTATGTTTGTTGTATTACACAAGAATAAAAAAAAAAAGGAAAGCAGAAACATATGTGATGGCTGTGGATTTAAATGCAAGGAAAAAGGGTTTTACTTACAGCAACAACAAACTTCAGCTGCCGGGACTCAGTCAAGCAGAGCCAGCAGAGCAGGTATAAGCATGCCAAACTGATCTGCAACTTCAGCATCATGTTGACTTGTGAAAAGCTGCTTCCTTTAAGAAATTCCACAGTTTTTGTAATATAAAAATATCTATTATAAGGGTATCAAGGAAGAAAAAAATCCAAGTCCTTCTATGTACTTGACCAAAAACTGCAAAAACATGCCTTTATGAAAAAGCTATAGTTATACAGGATTTTAGAATCCAGAAAAACAAATATATCAAAATATAAATCTAAATACTTTATGACTCCCAGGTACAAATCTGGCTTTTTAGTCAGATACCTCATGGAGCAGTTGCTGTGAATCCCTCATTGTCTATATTAGGCCTAGAGACAGTAATTTAGGCCTTGTTAAGTTGAAGCTAAGCAGCGCTTTTATAGTCCTCCCACCTGACCTCATCTTGTTGTCCCTCCTTCATCAGATCTTTCTGCATCTGTTCTCCTGCATGGTATAAATCTTGTTTAGATCACTGAGCCTTCCAGTTTTCTGTTGTGTCCTTTGTGTAATTGTCCTAAAAGTAAAAGAAATAACATATTTAATCAGAGTTAGATTTTACGGGAACAAGTTTTGCCCCAGAGGATAAAACTGGTTGCACCCTAAAAGCAAAGTCACATGTCCTTTATGGCAACCTACCAAAATGACAAAGAAACAAGGAAAATGTTGACGTCTGCACCTGACTTCACCAATTGTGTTCTGTGGACTTTGAACGCATGTGTACTCTTGGCACAAACACTCATTAAAATGTTTTGTGCCATCTGCTGTGGGTTTGCCCAAAATTACAGGGCCTGGCGTGTTTTCCCTTACTTAGCATACGTTTAAGTATGTGTTGGTATCTCAGAAGCTTTCTGAGATATACAATGGGATTACTGAGTGTGAAGGTTTAAAACCCAACAGCAACAACGTCATGTTTTATATGTGTAAAACAGGCAAAATCAAGTAAGGTTTTACTTTAAAATCCCCTGAAAAGGATAGGAAATTTTATAAATAAGAAGTAACTTCTGAAATCTATCACAAGCAAAAGAGAGTAGGATTGTACTCAGAGCTTTGTTAAAAAAAATTACTTCTGCAAATTTAGACCAACAGAGTTCTAGAAGAAAACATGAGGTCATAACTTTGTAAGGCTCTTAGGATATAACATGACTGTTTTGAGCTAAATTGTCTTGTTGTTATTAATGTCTGTTTTGACAGCAGGTCACAGATCCTAGTTTACGTTTTAAATTAGTATTTTCTTTAATTCTAGTTTATTTTCCTTCAGGTAAAAGAATAAGATTAATTATACCACACATTATTTTTCTAGGTCTTTTTTTAGCAGATCATTCAGTGCTAGAAAAAAGTCATTTCCCCCTGCGAGATCTTAGTCACAGATAAATAACTCAGATAATCAATCTGATTTCAAAATCTGATTAAGAAAACTTGAGAAAACAGAAAAGGAAGATATCAAGTATGATATATATATATATATATATATATATATATATATATATATATATATATATATATATATATATATATATACATATATATATATATATATATATATATATATATATATATATATATATATATATATATATATATATATATATATATATATATATATATATATATATATATATGTTTATTTATATACCGGTAGTACCAATTCACATTATGTTATCATCTCAATGTGCTTTAAAGAGACATGACTCAGGAGGATAACATCAAGGTTGAAGACAAGTGGGTTAAAAACCTATCTAGCAGACCACTGACAAAACCAGAGATGGATGTACTGAGTAAAGGCCTGAATTTTGCCATTGCTCCACAAGAAGTACCCATTGTGGAACTAATCACGGCCACTGAATCGGCCATCAGGAACAACAACTTGGCTGAAACGGAGGCAGAGCAACTCAGAATGAAGGTAACAGCCACCCTGTCCAGCGCCAAACCACCTCCTTCCAACCTCACACCCCAGGAAATGAAAGCCATAACATCCCTGAGCCAGGACCAAAGCATCACCATATTACCAGCAGACAAAGGAAGATGCACCGTAGTCCTCAACACCTCAGACTACCAAGACAAAATTATCACTCTACTGAAGGACACTAATACGTATGAATCCTTGAAAAGAGATCCAACCAGCGGCTACAAAAAGAAAATAATAGACTATCTCAAACAACTTGAAAAAGACAAGGTAATTAACAGCACAGCCTATTTCAGATTATATCCAGGGGAGGAAATTCCATGCTTATATGGACTTCCAAAAATTCACAAAGAAGGGGCACCACTCAGGCCCATCGTCAGCAGCATTAACTCAGTAACATACAACATTGCTAAACAGCTTACTAATATCTTAGCTCCCTTGGTGGGGAACACACCACATCACATAGAAAACTCCAAAGACTTTGCCAACAAAGCCAAACATTTAAGGATGGCTCCAGGAGAAACCTTGGTATCGTTTGATGTTACTTCACTTTTCACATGCATACCTATAACAGAGGCAGTGGAAACAGTCAGGACACGTCTTGAACAAGATAGTGATTTAAACAACAGGACTAATTTCACTCCGGACCAGATCTGCACACTACTGGGCCTTTGTCTTTCCACAACCTATTTCAAATTCAGAGGTAATTTTTACAGACAGAAGCATGGCTGCGCAATGGGATCTCCAGTATCACCAATTGTAGCCAATCTTTACATGGAAGAAATGGAAAAGAGAGCTTTAGACACTTTCAATGGAATACCACCAAGCCACTGGTTTAGATACGTGGATGACACCTTCGTCAAAATCCAACTAGAGGAAGTGGAAGCTTTCACCAAACACATCAACTCTGTTGACCGTAACATCAAATTCACCAGAGAGGATGCCAAGGACAACAAACTACCCTTTCTGGACTGCCTGGTGAGCATGGAAGGAGATGGAAGCCTAAACATTGAAGTGTATAGGAAACCTACTCACACAGACCAGTATCTTCTTTTTGACTCACACCACCCACTGGAACACAAACTCTCAGTCATCAGAACCTTACAACACCGGGCAGAACATGTCCCTACTAAAACAGATGGGAAGCAAAAAGAACAGAAACACATCAAAGATGCTCTCCAAAACTGTGGATATCCAAACTGGGCTTTTATCAAATCAGCAAGGAAATCCAAAAGACACGCAGCAGAAGACAGCGATGGGAAAATTAAACGCAAAAACATCACAATCCCTTATGTTGCTGGAGTGTCTGAAAAGCTCAAGAGGATTTTCTCCAAACACAAGATCCCAGTACATTTCAAGCCAAACCAAACCCTTAAACAGAGGCTAGTGCACCCTAAAGATAAAACCTCCAGACCGAATATGAGCGGAGTGGTATATGCTGTTCAGTGCAGCGAGGAATGCTCTGATCTTTATATTGGCGAAACAAAACAACCTCTCCACAGACGCATGGCCCAACACAGAAGAGCGGCCGCCTCTGGACAAGACTCCGCAGTACACCTACACCTTATGGACAAAGGACATTCTTTTGAGGACCAGAATGTCCATATTCTGGATAAAGAAAATAGGTGGTTTGAGAGGGGCGTGAAGGAAGCCATCTATGTTAAGAGAGAAAAACCAACTTTAAACAGAGGTGGTGGACTCAGATTCCAGCTTCCAAAAACATACAATTCAATAATAGACATGATCCCTTCCAGATATCACCAAACCCCCCACCCCATCACAGAGGAACGAGGGACCTACCCGCCCCAGCCGGTGAACAATACCTCCTTAACGACCAACCCTTAACAATCATAGACAGGTTTCAGGTATTACAGGAGACAATCCCCCCCTTAATGGCAATCCCCCCTTTAACGACCGACCCCTAGAATCATAGACAGGTTCAGATATTACAGGCTAACGATGGAACTAACGACCCATTCATCGGTTAGATTTGCATGTTTCCAAGCGATACAAGGCGTTGTCTATATAAGACTCAAACTCACTGCGGATCCAGACATTTGAATTGAGAAAGCTTCCTGGAGAGGTGGCGAAACGTCTTCAAATCTTGAAAACCAGTCCAGTGGATATTTTTTGAATTTTTACGGAACTTTAAAGAGACAGTTTAATCAAATCATACAAACAGATTGGTTAGAAGTTTTGTATCTCAAGAAACCCAGCTGACTGCATCGAGTCATTGATTTGAAGGAATTCTCTCCTCCCGGAGAACTCTGCAGCAATTCCTCACACTGAGCATTGCATGCAGCAACAGAGAAAAAAAAAATCTCCCTTTTAACAGTAGAAACCTCCAGCAGAACCAGGCTCAGTTTGAGCAGCCTTCTGACAAGGCCAACTGGGGGTTCAAGAAGACAAAAGCAGACACACAAAAGAAAATGTAGAAGCACTGATCCATAAAAAAAAAAATGTATGTTAGAAAAGGTAATGGTAAACTATCTTAATAGGTGAAACTATCTAGGAAATAAAGTTAAGCAGATGGACTCTGGGCCAGTTTTCATGTCAAAAAGCAGGAAAAGAGCTCACACATTTAGTTAGAGTAAAACTGAGCCCATGGCTACATGTATGCATTGGAGAGATAATTTGTTTCCTAAATCAAATTACTGGCCATTTCTGTATTGATAGAAGCAACTACCATTAAGCATTTGTGAAAGCTGACAGTTTTAAATATCCTTTGTGAGGAAATTTGGCCAACTTTTCTTGCAGAATTGTTGTTGCACAGCCAACAAACTTTGGTATGAACAAATGATTAAGGTAATGCCACAGCATCTCAGTCAGATTTCAACCATTCTACCAGCTCCATCTTTGACTGCCAATGTTTTGTTTTCTAAAATACTGTGTTGGTTTAAAGCAAAAGAGCAAAAGCAACAGGATTGTCACTTTAACAGTTCAATTCTTTCCAGTCCACATAATTCTGGACATAAAGATGGTTCAAGTCAAATTCAAAGCCATGATGTATTTTTTGCTCTTTGAGGGTCAGGTAGCTAAAGTTAAGGATGGGCGGACATGTACAGGTTTTTCACAAAACAGGTAGTTTCATCTTCTACTACTAAAGCGTTTCTGGAAATCAGACATTTATGTGCATGCTTAAAGGATTTAATCTGATCGAGCACTTGGTACATGTATAGACATTTCAAGGTCAGAGAATTATATTTAATGTCCATGTAAACAGAGATGTTGAATTTTCAATCAACCAAGGTTTAGATCAGCCTTGGGAAATTTTGTGCATGTAAATGTAGCTACTGATCTGTTAGATACAGAAAAAAAATCTTCTGAGTTTCTTTCAAACACCGGAGACATTTTGAATTATAATGTTTTTGCATCTCTGCAATTTCTCCTCTGTGTTATATGCAGTGTTATCCTTCCTGCTAGTTTCTTTGGTCGACTAAAAAAATGTCTTGTTTGGATAAT